AACACGGAGTATAGTAGGTAATGTTATGGAAAAAAAAAAAAAAAAAATGAAAAAATAGAAATACAAACACAAAGTAAAAAACGCGTCGAAAAACCCGGAGGATAGCGCGGAAGATTACGTGGGAAAATAACGTAATAAGTGTAGTGTAACGACGACGATGACGTTGATGATAATAATAATAATACGATACGAACGCGCCGGAGTTACTCAACGGCGACGGCAGGAGAAAGTCTAGACGTCCTTGAAAAAAAAAAAATAAAAAAAAAAATAATAAATACAACCGAACGTCGAGATGACCCTAACCTCTAGGCCGACGGCGGATCATTAGGAAAAAATAAAAAATAAAACTAATAATAAATGAAAAATGTCTTCCCGTCCGCCGCGCCTTTAGTATAATATAACAATCTTTAGACGTAGTTTTTCTCCTTCTCTCTCTCTTTCTATCGCCTTTTCGAAAACCTCACGGTTTCTCACGACTACCGGCCGACACGAAAAACCCGCGCGCGCGCGCGCGCGTGGGTGTACCTAACGATATTATGGTTTTTAACCATACCCGGTGCGTGCGCCTCGTGTGCGTACACGTAAAACGCCGGGGTAGCCGACCTGTTGGAAGGACAAAGGTGTACGTCTTCGGCAGAGATGGACCGTGACGTCGGCGGCGGCGGAGTCTGTCCGGTCGACCGTAACAATAATTGGTGTGGGACGACGACGGTCGGCGGCGGCGGCGGCGACGGGGAGAGCGAGAGAGAGCGAGGCGAGCGAGTGAGAGAGAGGACAGTCGACCGGGCATCCGTCCGAAACAAAGAACCTCCGTCGACGGTCGCCGCCGCCGCCGCCGCGTCCCTACCATCGTCGGTGTCGGCCGGTCGGTCGGTTCGCCGGCCGGCTTCTCGGGACGACGACGACGACGACGACGACGCGTTAACCGGTGACAAAAGAAAACGCGCGCTCGCCTCCTATCGAAACCCGAATAATATTCGGACCGAAATATTTATTATTGTCGCGATCGTTCAAAGGTTGTCGACCGACCCGGGCCGTACACACGACACGCGAGTTTTAGAAGGAAAAAAAAAAATAAGAGAGAAAGAACGACGACAATAAAGTCGCGTATACGATATGATATTATTATTGTTATTATTATTATTATTATTATTGTTATGTGCTCGCAGTACGGGTCGGCAACAAGGCCACCGCCGCCGCCGCAATCAGACAATGACCACGTGTCGCACTCCCACACACCGCGGGGTCCCCCCGATTCGGGCCCCCTTTCCCCTCCGCCCACGCGCGCGCGCCGTTCTCCCCTTTACGGCTCCGCGATCGCGCCCGGAACGACCTCGGGACCGGGTCGTGTCGAGAACTCGACGTCCCGCGAATAATAAAATCGTCTCGGGAAACGTCGCCGGGTATCTTTAGTGTTTTGTTTTGTGTTTTTTTTTTTTTTCCACCGAAATATCAGTAGGTGCGATAAGAATGTCGCGACGCGGATTTTGCTGCTTAGCGGCCTGGTTCGTCGGAAATCTGGGCGCGATTGTGTCGCATCATCGGTTTATTATGGACGTCGTAACGCCGGGTTCGGGGTGGGGAAGAATACAAACAAATTTTACGGATTCGACAGAAACGATTTCGGATTTCGAAAACATTCGACGACGCCGCGCGCGCTTGTTGTGAAACGCGTTTTATCGAGTATTCAGCGGAAATTATTATTTATTTTTTTTAGTTTTTTTTCCAACCCGTTTCAAATAGGTCGAAATAGCGTTCGTTTCGTTTCGTTTTGTTTTGTTATTTTTTTTTTTTTTTTTTTTTTTTTTTTTTTTATCATCGCATACGCTGTTACGCGAGGTACATAATAATATAATACGCGCGCGCGGTTTTTATTGAGAGAGAGAAAGAAAGATAGAGAGAGAGAGAGAGAGTGAGAGTGAGAGAGAGAGAGAGGGATAAAAATCCACCGCCGTCGTATAACATAATATTTCGATTGCGCGAGCGCGCGTTTGTTGTCGACGACGATAACGCGGCGGCGCGGTAACGATTTTAATAATAATAATAATATTCAACATTGATAACAATAATATTTATAAAACGATTAACAATCGTTATTATTGTCGCGCGCGCGATTATTTTAATCATAATCGTCGTCATAATAATAATAATAATACGAACCGCGCGCCGTGATAATACGCGACATCGATACGAACGCGAATTTACACTTCCTCGGCGACGGAGCCGGTCGCCGCAAGGGCACGCGGCGGCGGCGACGACGACGACGCAGCCGCCGGCCAACTGCGCAAAATCCCATAAGACAATAAAAAAAATATTTTGCGTGCGTTTCGTCGGCGAGGGTGGTGCGACAAAAATCGTTTGCGCGGGGGCCCTTGGGCCGCCCCCCGGAGCGAAATTTTCGGGGCGGGGGGAGATTTCCTCCACCCCTCCCCATCCCCCTCGCACACTGACCCGGAACGAGGCGCCGGGCGACGGGAACGAAACGCCGTAGTTTGTGCGCGGGGGAAAAAACGTCGTCGACAGATGACGTTTCGGCCTTATCTCCCGCGCGATAGCGGTAACAAGTAACGATAACAATAAAAACGTCTTTCTTACCTTTGACACGGTTCAACAAATCGCGACGATTCGGTCTTTTCAATTCCATTCTGAAACACACGGGTTAAAAAAAAAAAAAAAAAACAATTATTAAAATGTCTTGGGTGCACACGACAATATTAAGATATTTATTTATGGAATTAAATTTTAAATTTTTTTTTTTTTTTCCTCGAAATTTTCCGCCGTATACATTTAACGGGCGCCCGTCTCGCGCGCGTCAAAACAACACCGAAGAAACGCCGACGGAGCGGACAATAATAAAATCGTCAGTTAATTTCCCCGGCAGAAACGCCGCGCGCGCGTTTTTATAGAAACAATATCGCGGACGGCGGGCTGACGGGCGCGCGCGGGACAACACGCCGTTCCGTATTACCTACCGGACCAATAATGATAACAATAATAATAATAACGACGACGAAAAACGCGATATTGTTTTGCCGTTCCGTTACGGATTTAACGCGGCGCGCAACGCGCGAGGAAATTCCGTTCGGCCCGAGATAAAAACGTGGGAACGACGACCGTCCGGCACGCGCGCCCGTTTCGTTGTTGCCGCCGACGAAATCGAACGGCACCGAGTGTTCGATTAATTAACGGCCGTTCGCGGTGGCGACCACGACGACGGCGATTGTCACTTACCACCGGAGTCCTGTGCGGGCGTCTGGTGCGCGCGTGTTACGATCCGTTGTGCCGGCAAAACAGACCGAGCAGAGTGGCGGGCGGACACGACTTGAGCAGGTCCTCGGGACGGCGACGCACTAGCGCGACACGAACGCACTGACGCTGCGGCGGTAAAATATTTACGTTCTACGGCCGAGGGGGGAAGAAAAAAAAAAAAAACAACGAAAAATACAATAATAATATAACAACACTTATCGAATATTAAAACAATAATATAAAAAAAAAAAAACGAACTCGGGCGGGGTAGGGGAGGGGGTGCGACGGTGTTCGAAATGGAAAACTCGACGGGCACGCACGGCGACGACGGACAGCGGACACCGGCGACGCGCTTTTTCTCCGGGAAAAGGGCGCGAGCGACGGCGACGAAAATGATTTATTTATATTTCGTGTTTGTGTGCGTGTGCGGCGCGGGTTTTGTCACTCGTTTATCGAAAACATAATTTTTATTTATTTTTTTTTTCTACCTTATTACAGTCAATAATAATAATGATAATAATAATAATAATAATAATAAAATAATATATCGAATATAGACGAAAAAAAAATAATAATATAATAATAATAATAATGAAAAAAACTTAACAGCGGACAACAGACATTGGTGACGTGAGAAAAAAAAAAAATTAAATTCAAAACGTAAAAATTTAAACGCAATAATATTATAATAACGTATAGGTATGAGTATTTTTATTTATTTATTATTATTTTTTTTTTTTTTTTAATTTTTTTAACCGGCTCGCGTACTATTAGGAGACGACTGCGTGAAATGTCGGTATGGGAACCGGCCGATCAACTAAACTGTATGATCGTCTGCCGCGACGGTGACGGCGGCGACCCGGTAGCCCAGGTGATGGGACCGAATGCGCGCCGGCAACGCGCCGCTAACAGCGCCCTCTGCCGAGTCACGTTTTCTTCTCCGCCCCACCGCCGTCGCCGCATTGTTGTTGTCAAGACCGACCGCCGACGGCCGGACGGTACGGAACGGCGGCGGCGGCGGCGGCCGTAGCCATTGATTACGCGGGGGTAACGTAATTATTGTGATATATTTTTTTTTTTCATTTCTACGCCGGCAGAAAAGGAACGGGGGAAACGAAAAATGATAATGAAAAAAAAAAAAAAAATAAATAACAATAATCGAATGCCCGCCCGCCAGACACGCCACTGGTCGCGAGTTCACGAAAAAAACCCGAACGAGAGCGCATTTTACGAGCGCGCGTATACCTACACACCGACGACAAACACGGTGTCTGATTATTAATATTATTATAATTGTTATAATAATTTTATCGTCGCGACGAAATTCGTATCGACTCCGACGCGACTCCCGAGTTTTTTGAGCCATGTAGGGCTCAATGTCGAAAATATCGTCGCCCGGTTAACAATTTATTGTTATCGATTCAGGGGCGTCGATTATACGAGAAACAGACGTGTCAACTCACCCCTTCCCTAGATAATGACTAGAACACCGAGTTTACAGTTTTTTTTTTTTTTTAAATCGTGACCATTTCTTTCGCGTATAGAATGTACGTTCGTTTCGTCATTCGATATAAGCGATTCCGTTGATTTAACGGTTTTTAAGTTTTTCGTTTTATGATCGTCACCCCCTCAGTATTTGACAGACGGGCGCCCGTGATTATTGTTATTATACCGACGCGACAAACGAATTATCAGCGTCGTGCAGAGTGCGGTCCAAACCGCCTCCGAAACATCATTACGAATCGCCCTTTAATTTGAATTTTCGTACAATAGCCGAATCAGTTGGAAATACGTCGAAATCGTGTATTGGCCACAATCGCTGCAAGGGCGTCCGGGCGGGTCCGGGGAGAGGGCGGCGCAATAACGGGACGTAAAATATAAAAGGGTCGGGAACGGTTTTCCGAACGTTCTTCGATTTCGCATTGTTATAATTACACGATTACCGCAGTAAACAAAATTGTTTTTACGTCGTTTTAACGGTCACCGCGACGCCCAAACGATATTGCTCGTCCGCCAGTTTACATACTGCGGCCCGGACGCCCATTTAAGGGGGACGAGTGCCGGCCGTTTTCGCCGACGGATAATACGTGTAACAATAATATGACGTTCGTACGACCGACGAGGGGCGGTCGATTAGACGCGTTCCCGGCCGATTTCGATTTTTAAAGCGCGTCTAGGTCAGGTATGCGGGAAGACGATTTCTCGATTTGAAATTCGGGCGCGTCCGACGAAATCGATACGCCGTGTATTATGCGACGTGTTTGTTTCCCCCCCCCCACCGGTAAATTCACGCGTACACGCGCGATAAGGAAATCGGACGTCGGCCCGGTGCCTGTACAGTGACGTGATATTATGTCCGATTCCCCATCGCTGACCGGCGTAAAACGTACGCGAAAAATAGCGCGACACACGCCTATACAGCCCCCCACCCCTCATTAATGCAATGTATTTAGGTAGGTACCTGCGTACGTTTGCCTTTCTAAAAGAATTAACGATAATTAAAAATCGCCCCGTTTATCTCTGCCCACCCACCCACCCCCCTCGAAACACGCCCCTGGAGGTTTGGCGTTCGGACACACCTCTATGTGTGCGTATACATGCGGCAGGCAGCACACACCACACACGATCGTGCTGTTGTTTTTTTTTTTCTTTTTCTACAGTACCGTAATGCAAAACGCGCATATTCCGTATGAAAATGTTACTGATGTTATTATTTGTATGGCAGTCCGTCCGAATCGATTATCAACAATGTTTATACCGAGATTGGACTCCGTCAACGTTTCAATTTGTAACAATTCGCAATTGTCGCACGTCCGTTCGCGTTTTATTTTTTCGATAATTTCCCGTTCGACAAACACGTGGCAATTGACGCGCTCGTGTATAATTGCAGGTCGAGCGGTTCGTTCCCGTTCTCGTACAATGTCCCGGGACCCGCGAAATCCTGGCGGTTCAACTCACGGTCACTACCCGGGCGCTTTACGGGACGACCGAATCCGCGCGAATACCGCAAAGCGCCGCGGGATATTACCGTGTGCGTTTCTGAAACGGAATAGCGCGCAACGTACGCGTTTTTACACATCGTGTTTGTGTGGTGTGTTACGCGCGGCTTATTAATTAAAAAAAGGCCGTTTTTTTAAAAAAAAAATAACAGTATCGGAAAACAAAAAAATTAATAAAACGCATAGGCACCAATAACGCACGTGAAAATGTAATGCGCGATAAAATAATAATTAAAAAAAAAAAAAACTATAGGCCATTAACGACACTGCTATCTGCAATACGAAATAGTAACGATGACAAAATAATAAATAATCATAACATACGTTTTAAAGTACGTCTCGATAGCCGAAAAACACAAATACCCACCTGTCTGTTATTATTATTATTATTATTATTATTTTTTTTTTAATGGTTATAAAAATAACATTATACAATTGATAATGAATGAACGCGTAAACCGCCGTGCAGTTGTTTACGAAGAAAAACGAGAATACACAACGCGTAGACAAACAGCGGTGTACAAACATTGTTGCGTTAAACGTAATACAATACGGTAAACTCTCGAAGGAAAATCTCTATAGAACACTGTTTCGCGGAGAATTTTCGAATCTCTTTTGCGGCTCGCGTTGTCAAAGGATTTCGTCGGTTTTACGCGAATGCGGTGTAACCAAACCGTTTCCCGGGCCCCTTTGAAATTCGTTGTGCCGCCGGGCGATTGTATCGAACCGTTAGCGACAGGCCGCACGGAATATTCGACGGTTCCATCGTCGATAGCCGATACCGTGTTGGAAGTATTCGAAAGTTCCCGTCGCCAATATCCGCCGTTGTTACGTGGCGCCGGTACGGATGTGCAGGCGACAAGCGAAACCGAATCCCAAGCGAATTCTCGTTCGGTGCGAATTTCCGCGCACCGACAAAACGCGATCCGGTCGGCGGCACACGTGGTCGTCGATTCACGCACGCCGGCGACGGCACGCAAAGTCGCATAATGGCATCCGGACGAGACGGTTCACAAATAAAATATAATGATTCACTAGCAAACGAGTACGTAATATTTAAATATTGTTACATTATTATCGTCGTCGGCCGTAGTACCTATATAATATATTATTTTATACGGCGTAATGTTGTGGTAATTGTATTAAAAACGCCGGGGATCTCGTTGCACCGGATTATGTATAGAAAGACGGAGAGAGAGAAAAAAAAAAAAAACAACTCCTACGTCACCGAGAAAATATAACAACGACCGAGACAATGGAACGGCGGCGGCGGCGGCGGCGGCGGTGGCGGCGACGACGACGACGACGACGGTGTTACAAAATTATTATTTAAAACATAATGTGATATAATAAAATGGTTCGCATTTGTTGCGTGTTTCGATATTATAATATTATTATTGTCGAGGAGTGATGGAGAGAGTGAGTACAACGCGGTTTATTATGGCCGACCGACGACGCGGCCGCCTACAATGCGATTCGACGACGGTCCTGTAACGTCCAATAAACCGACGCGGGTATCCTACCTACACTCGACTTCGGTGGTTTTGATACGAAAACAAGCCGGATATTTGAACAGGTAGAGCGAGGGGGNGGGGGGGGGGGGGGGGGGGGAGGATGGAAGCAATCGAAATAATTATATCATGATAATATTGTCGCGAACGGTGTACAATTTGCTCATTGGTCAGGCCGGCGGCGCGTCATTATTGACACCGCGGTCCTTTACGTTATCCAAATCGGACGTCACGCGGTTTTGCCGCCACTATATCATAACACATCGGTTTGGACCTATTGACCGTTGTATAGATCCATTAACGTAGACGCAGAAATCACGGACGGATATCGTCGAATGAACGGGAAAGATAGATACCGTAGGGTACTATAGACACTGAAATTACAATCAATACTATCTTTCTATCTGCTGTGTGTCAAACTCACAATGCAACAGACGGTGGATGACGGGGAAGATCCGTCCGTATGGGTCAATATGTCTACGGTTTTAAACACGGATTATGGATATTAAAGGTATGGATAGGCCGTAGTGTATTTTCGGCCTATTATTTACATTGCAGTAATATAACCCGTTGTGAAAAAAGCGTATTACAGTAGCTGCCTATCCGTATATTTTTAACGTAATATGTTTTTATCCGTAGTCGATTGTTAATATTGGAAAGGGAAATGTCGAGGGAAATCTTTGGGCCTGTTGAGGATGGCGTCAATGGAGAATGGAGAAGTAGAAAAAATGCAGATTCGAGTTGATGTTCCAAAATACAATAATAACGGATTTTATAAAGAACCAAAGACTCCAGTGGGTAGGGTATGCCCGGAGGCGCCATAATGAGTTAATAAAATCAGCGTTGGAGCAAAACCCGTGTGGAAAAAGACCTCTTGGAAGACTCAAAACAAGATGGGAAGACTTAGTCAGAAAGAACTTAGAATCACTAGGGGAAGGCGTGAATTGGAAAGAAAGAGAAATGCATAGTGAACAATGGGTGTGAAATGGCATGTTCCTGAAGGGAATTTTTAACTGAGAAGAAGATATGGTTTTATCGGATATCGGTTTTTTTTTATACCGGTTCGTGGTTATTCGCAAAAAACGTTGGGGTTTTATTTTTTAAATAATATATTTGTATCGCGAAAAATCGGATACCGCGGTAACAAGTGGTATCGGCCAACGAATCGGTATAGTTTATTATAACTCCGTAGGTTTTACGACGGTTGTCTATTAAAGTATTAATCGATTTACGTACTCGAGGTAACTCCGCTAAAGATCGAAACAATTTTTTACGTTTCGCTCGGATACGGGACGGGGATTTTACGAATATAGTCTTTGTGAATGCGATTTTGTGCAAAGACTCCGCATTCCCCCCGCCCCTTCCCCGCCGGCCACGGTGCCGCGTGTTCCGACGTCGTTGGACTTCCGTCGAGACCGAGAAGTTTATAATAGCCCGGCAACGGCGGCGGTGGGTTAGGTACACATTGTGGCAGCGTACACGGGTAAACAGACGTTCGAAAAATATTTTCCCGCAATATCCGCCCCCGTTGTAAATTAATTTTTTTTTTCTCTTTCGCGTCGAAACTCCGACTTTTTATTTTTCTCCGTGAAAACCGTTCGACGAGCCGCCGCCGTCGATTTGATCGTTTTCCCCGGTATTTTATCCGAAAACCGTCTGTACACGCACGCGCGCGGACCGCATCGCACAACAGTGGCGCAAATTTCTGGCGGCGACGCGGGGAAATATTCATGGTTTTTCGACCCGTCAATACTCCGTCCGTCATTCCCGCCTGATGAACAATTAATTTCGCCGCCGTTTTACACAAATCGAAAATTAACATTTCATTACCCGAACAGCGTATAGAGACATTATTAAATATTACACATTAGTTATCGTGTAAGATAAGCGCACAGGTGATTACTGCTAAGCGATGAATAATTAGTAATAACAACGCCGGTAAATCTGATCTACGCGATTCAGCTCGTCGCGCACCTTTACCCCCACGCACGGCGGTAACGAGTCGCAGCCCACTCCCCCCCCTCCCAGTCCGTTCGTCCGTCATCGCAACAGAATTCACCATCGCTCGCCTTACGGACTGTCTGCGTAAACAAATGTTTTACTTCTGTCGAAAATATAAATGATAACCGTGTGCGTAATCAAGTGCATGCGGTACGTGCGTACGTATTTCCGAAATTTTCCGGCCGTGCGATGAGTGGCAGGCCCGGTCGTTCGCGCAGGCCGATCCACGCCACTGCAGCGGGTACGCATTCATTTTTTTTACGGCAGATTTTTTACACGCGCTCGCGCGCACAGTAATATAATAATTACTACAGACGGGGAGACGACACACGCCGGTAACTAATAACGCAATAAACGCTCTTCGACTGTTGCTATCGTTTAGCTATAACAACGACGACGACAAAGATAATATGTTCATAACGTTATTTTCTTATCGCACAGAACATATTATCGTTGTTATTGTTATTATTGCACGAGGGTACTTTGCGCGTGCGGCATACCGTTGTTCACCCACTCCATTACGATAATACCGTACACGTATACCGATATACGTAACGTTTTCCGTGCGTCAATTATCACCGCGTGCGTATTATCATCGCGTGCGGTATTCGTCTATAGTGAGCGACGTACAATAACAACGATTGTGTTTGGGTATGGGGCGGCGTATCAATTATACAGTTGCGGTCGCGACGAGCGGTTCCGCGCCCGCGGTTTTACGCGACGTGTCGCGTACGCCGTTATCGCGGGGGATCGAGATGGAAAACAAAACGAGAAAAGAAGAAAATCCCGGCAGAGGGGCGAGCGTATTTGCGGACCGCGTCCGGGGCCCGGAACCTCGGCTATCGGGTCTAGTCGGTCGGGTTAGGAGCGCGACAAAAAAATAAACACAACCTGTAATACAATATGAAAAAGGTACACCGGTCGGTGGAAACCCGACGGCGTTTCGAGGAAGCTATAATAATAATGTACACTAATAAGTGTGCCGAAAGTGTAAACCTATACTACTGTGCCGGTGACAAGGGGGGGGGGGAGACTACGATGGTGATATATCTCTCCCATCGAACTTTTTTCAATACCCATTATTTACGGGACTATAAGTTTCTTTTTAAAATTCGGATTTCTTTGCATTTTTATACGGAAAAATCACAAATGTGTCGGCACCTAGTTTACGCGTTAGTCAAAAAATGCTCGAAACGTGTACATAAATTCTTGATTAAAACGCGACACCTATCCAAACAGTTTAGTATGATGAATCGACAAAAATTACTGATGTCAATATAATTATTTGATTTCGACGATAATCGGTTTTTTTTTTTCGAACCCGATAGACAGTTATATATAAAAAAAAACCACGAGCTGTACGTCGTATACGGACTTGCGATCGACGGCGCGATTTCCGAAGTGAACATCTCCGGTACGCCACCTAACCACGACGGCGGCCGGTCGGCGTATTGACATACCGCCCAAACCGGGAAAATATACGCGGGCGGCGGCGAACGTTATCGTGGACCGTTCGTTGCGTGTTTCGTCTCGGAAAGACACCGAAAAAAAACGATCGTCTATACGAATAAACAAATCCACCACGAATTGAATACGAAAACAAAATCACACGCACACGCGCGCGCGCGCTAAACCAGAAACTCCGCGTTTCCTGCGCGCAGACGCGTCCGGTGTCGGCGTCATTGTTTGCCGATCGGCGGCGGCGGTTCGGGGGCGGGATGTGGGATATGTCTCTAGTCGTCGGTATTTCATCGACAGGAAAAAAAACACCAACGGAATAATATGATAATATCGTTTCGGGAAATTCCGATAGCGGTTTTTTTTTTTCTGTTTTTGTCGCGACGGATATAATGTTACGCGACGGAAACCGGCTTTGTGCCGACGGCGGCGGCGGCGGCGGTCGTCCGGCAGGGCTTCTCGTGCCGCGGGACGGACGAAAACGAACGGATGCATTAAGCGTCCGGAGTCATTAGAGAGGAAGCTACGCGCCCCGGGGCAGCAGCGGCAGCGGCGGCAGAGGCGGCCGTGGGGGTTCGTTTATAGGTGCGCGTTTTACACGCACACACACGCGCGCGTGTTTGCGGCCGGCGAGTGTCGCGTTTCGCGCGGTGTACACGGGGGAGAGGGGAAACGAGGAGGAGAGGCTATTATTACGCCGGTCGAAAAACGTCGGTGCGCGCGTTTATCGTAAATATCGTAATGTAATTCGGCGGTTTTGCACGAGCTCATCGACGGACGCGTGGACGCCTCGCACTCTTCTTTCTCTAATCGAATTAAAAAAAAAAAAAGTTCCTACTCGCCGAACTAGGTCCGATTTTAACTCTGTTGTTCCGTTCCGCAATACCGACCGCGGCGGTAAACATAATCGCCGTGTGCGACGCGCGCGGTTAACGAGCAGCACTTGAGCTTTTCGTAAACCGTTTCGCCTTTAGTATCAAGGACCGCGCCATTTTTTATCGCCATTTTTCGTTTGTTTTTTTTATATTTTAATTTTATAATTATCGTTTGTAATCGATAATCGATTCTGTTTTGACGTTTACGCTTTGTCGTCGTTCAAATTTGTTTACCGTTGCAACTGTACGGTTTTATTGGCCTCCGAGCCCGTTTAAAAAAATAAAACAAATAGAATTTATTAGAATTATATGTTTAATTGATCGGCGTTATTGTTAATCCGAAGAGTGACGAATACGTTTTAAAAATGCACCGCACAATATTATAAATTACAAAATATCGAAAATAACGCGCGACGACGAAATCATACCTACAAGAAAACAACAAAACACAAATGAAATTTATTCGATAGCATACATTATATGCAATGTAGTATTATAATGCGCATTTCGTTATAATAAATGCTAATTTATGCGACTCGGTCAATTGATTTTACTTTCGCTCTTGGCTCCGGAAATATCGATCGTGTTCACACATATACATATTATATATACCTCCGTCGATCGATAACGAAACGGAAAAAATCACGTACTTGGAACTGCAGACATCCTGCTACGGCCAACGAAAAACGTACTGTCCACTTTTAATCGACGAATCTCTTTTCGCCGTATTAATCTGCCATTTTATTGTTTTACCTTATCAGTATATTGTTTATCAAAAGCGGATACTTATACAATTTAATTTGCGTATGCAGATCACCTAAAATCGATCCAACACTATTAACGGGCCTCTGTCGATAATTTGTTTGATCGGTCCGTCTCAAGCGTATTATGTGCCGACAAAATATAATAATATATTTCATATTTCCATACATTTAACGCAAAAAAGGTTCTTTTATACATTTTATAAATACAAGAGTATATATTCCAGTATACCTTGGCCGAATGTTTTTTTTTTTAAAATTATTTTAATGTGTTACTAAGTTGTGAACGGTTAAAATTCTGAGAAATCGAGTTCAATATTAAAACGCGCATTTTTTTTTTCATGATAAAAATAACAAAAGGATCTTTTGGCCAAGCCATAGTAAATTCACTTTTTTCGTAACATTTATAATATTAAAAAAAATAATTCAAGCCCAATAACCTGACAACAATACGAACTTGTATTTAACGTAATTATATGTACACGTGCAGTATAGCTCAGAGTGATAATATTATACATTTTGGCATCCATCGAGTTAAATACTGAACACGGTCGATCAAACAACAAATCCGAAAAACATAGAAAATATCTTGAAAGGTATCGAAAATAAATTTTTTTTTTTCTAAACATTAAGATTTATATTTTTGAGCTACATGATTTATATGTTTTAATTATTAATGAAGTTCAAGTTCAACAATATAGGTATGTGTGAAAAAAGATAAAGAGGTATAATTATATATGCAATTATACACAGTATAGATAATAATATTAAACGCGTTGACGAATGATTCGCGTATAAAACATATTGTTATCCAACACGGTTATTGATTGACAGAAATCATAACATTATTATAATATAGGTCTTAACATTGAATACCTACCGAAGACTATTGTTAAAGTAACAGCGCTATAATACCTATGTAGATAACAGACAGAATATAGTTCAAGTTCACAAAAAAAAAAAAAATGTAAATAGTTAATTTACAAATCCAATGAACTAGTTCGCGACACCGAGGCCGATTTAAGACAATTAACTATTTTAAAACACGCGTGTACGTTACACTGCGTATCGTGCGCAGCGCGGGATGTTAGGGGTTATATTAATCCCGTTCCCGTTCGCTCGAAAATACACCAACCATGAGGATTAATTTAGTAACTTTTTTATTATTATAGATAACAATATATTTCAGCGAAATTACAAAGAAAAAAATATCGATGACGAAATTGGCTCGATGCGCCGAGTGACGGCAAAGTCTGTCCGGAGAATGTCGAGGATCAAAAGCAAATCCAAGTTCAGCCAGGAACTTTTCGGCATGATGAATGCCAATAAAAAACGGACGTGTGCTCAGGAGAAATCACAGAGACCAGCGATGTCCAGTGCCGGATTACTTTGTAATAATCGTGTTATTAGCGTTAAAAATTATTTTTAATAACCCAGAAACGACGGTGAACCTTTTAAACTAAAATGGTTTTAAGTGATATTTTAACGCTTTTATGACGTTTTTAAGTGATATGTTGTGAATTTTAAGTGCACATAAATCCGTTCCTTATTTATTAGTAATAATTATCGCGCGGGCGAGTGTAACTTAATAATTCACCGGCTTTTTGTATCGGTCGTTAATTTCAGAAATATTATTATCGACCGACGATAACGCGAATGTTTCGACGCGACGTCGCACGCTGATTTTCACGGCCCCGGTGTTCATTCACCAATGGGGGGGCTCCGGGGGTATTTGGTGCGCCCGGCATAGAAATTATACCGTACACATATAAATAGACACATACCGTGCGTTCAAGTGTGATCGAAGTGCGTAATACACTAGTTTCCAATGCGGTCACGTACACAATCCATGTGTGGTATCAACCGTGCAGGTGAGAGACATGGTACCGTCCGTCCGGAGCCCGTCGAAATCGAAAATTCGGAAAATATCGTCTATTGTTTGCGTTAAATCGCGTAGCGCCTGCAGCGCGTATCCCGACCGTTTACGTTTCATTTGTCCGAAACAAATAATATCGGAATCGATCGCGAATCGGATCGATAGAAATATCGTTAACGAGTGCCCGCGTAGCCGTGAATGACCGCCGCGGTAACCGGCGCCCGCGCCCTTCGCTCACGGTACAACGCGCGCGGGCAACAAATAAACGGACGGGCCACTGCAATAACGATTGTAAGGGAGGGGCGGTAAACCGAGGCGATTTGTCGTTCACCGCGGCACAGATAAAACGGCTCGCTCTGCGAAACCGTACGCTACCGTACCCGTCCCTCTCGAGACGCCGGTGGGCCGCACGGACGCGGCTCATCCGTGTTTTTGTCGACTGCGGCGTAACGGCCGACGGGTGACGTTCCATCCGCGCTCGCGTGCGCGACGATACCATTGTCTACGGTGCCGGGCAGACGCCGGCGACGCGTCGCAGTCCCGCGCCGCGCCCGGCGGTCGGCGCGCGCGATTCGCACTCGGTCCCCGCGGTGGCTTTTCGCCCGGGCGCACGTCGAACGCGTTCGCGGAAACCCGACCGACCCACGCCGCGAAACGGATACGCAAAATACGTATTGCGCGCGTGTATTCAAGGCAAGGCGAGGCGAACACAACTGCGGAGATGGCTCTCTATCGCGCGACGGAATTATTCATCTGGAAAATAAATAATTTATATCGGTTTCCCGAGTCGCGGAGGTCATTGCGCGCGCGGACCGCACGGATCCATTGTATTAAACGGCATTATGCCCATCATGATAATATCGCGTACGCGCAATACGTGTGTGTGCGTACGCCGTAGCCGTTGTCGCGCGCGCGAAACGAAAAATAAAACCGCGCGTAGAATTTCCGTGTGACGAATCGTTGACGCCGGTACGTAATGGTTATTATTGTTATTGTTATCAAGTGCCGGGGCGCGCATTATACGATACAGCCACTCCGTATTATTTATAATACGAGATAACGCGCGTTGTTTCTTTTTTTTCTCTCTCTTCTCTAATAATTATTATCGTGACAACGGCCGGTTTAATTAACGTACCGGTTCTCCGGGAGCGCGCGCATTACGATAATGCAACAGTACGCGCTATTACAATACGTCCGCGCGCCGCGGTGTACCGCGCGCGTCCGCCGCCGCCGCCGCCGCCAAGACGGTTATTACGCGCCGGCCAACAGCGCAACGGCGCCGCAGCGCACCCTGTGCGCGCCGCCGTCGTGTACGCGACGACAAGACGCTGTTCTCACGTCCCTTTGACCTCGCGCATAAAATATCATATCGGATTACACTATTGTGCAAACATCGCTCGGCGCGGACCGGGCGGACAACGGTCTCTCACAGGGCGGCGGCGGCGTTCCTCGGAGCCCGGGCCGCAGCCGCCGCTGCAGCAGAGACCACTTGACCCTCCGGCCGCCGCTATTATATACTACAGCTGACCGACCGCCTCGCTCCCCCCCCCTCACGACGCCCCCGGCCCTTCCCCCTCGAGTTTACACACATACACACACACACACACACACGCGCGCGCACACACACACACGCGCGCGCGCGCGGTTAGGTCCCGATGCTCCCCCGCCGAAAACCGGTTTTCCGTACGTACCTATACAGTACTCGCCTCCTCGTATTACCGCCCACCCGTCAAACCGTATTACCGCACCGCTCGGGTCCGGAGATACTTTTGTACGTATATAGCATGGTCGCTATGCATTGTGTGTGCATACACATACTTACACACACGTAATAATAATAATAATAATATTATAAATACGACGATAACGATAATATATACACGCGCACGCACAGAGAAGCGTATTACGAGAGATACCGATACCTGTATACGCACACACACACACACACACACAAACGAACGCGCACGACGACGTCAAAATGCAGGTATATATATGTGTGTGTGTATGATATGTATAATACGGGCACAATGTGGAACAAAGGATATTTTATAATGTAGAGTGTGTGTATGCACGCCGTAAATACACGCGGTACATACACTCCGGGTTCAAAGCCCGCAGATGATCCGTATGTGTTTGCGCCGCTCGTCGAATGTTGTGTGTATTTGTGCGTGCGCGCGCGCGCGTCCGTGTATTTCGTTTGTCGCGTACGCGTCGCGCCGCGTAGGAAAACGCGGCGTTTTTATTTCATTTTTTTTTTTTTTCCCTACGTATACGAATATATATTTTTATAGCCGTCGACGGCGACGGGGCCCGGCCTCCGCTTTCCGCCGGCCCGTCCGTGTTACGATATTTACGTTCTCCCCCCGCCGGCACAGCGGTGTGCCGGCCGGTCGCATGCGTCGCGGCGGTAACGGGCGAAGGGTACGCGCGATCGCGTGCGCGCGTACGACGCGCGGCCGCCGCCGAACGAGCCGGCAGTTCGCAGGGGACGCGCGACGGCTTATGGAAAACCGACGGAAACGGCTCTACGGTTTTCCGCGAGCGGTGAACGTCGGGGCGACTTTCCGTTTTAGACGGTAATTTCAGAATCCCTCCCCCCTACCCGTTGTTCGTGTACTGTACTGTAATATCACAATGAAAAACGTCGCCGAAAGCCGAGCGATGCGATAACGCGACAGCGCGTACCTTTATTTCTAAGCGGTCCTATCACCGCGACTCATCGACGGCGCGTGCACGCGGTGGATTGCGCGGGGAGGGGGGTGGAACGTTAGGGGTTATACCAACCCTCCCTCCGCCACTGGCTTGAAAACCTAAACAAAGTACGAGTAATCTGTTCTCGCGAAATGCGTGCATTTCAGCCAATACGAGCAAAAGCTCGCGGTGCATTGATTAGAAATCGGGTTTTTTTTTTCAGTATCCGGCTTTTAAATTACCGCCGTCGAGTCGAGTTACGGATAGAAGAGGATTTTACGACTTATTTACGGTTTTTATTTCATACGCCCCCTCCCGTCGATAACTACTCGGCGCGCCACTGAGCTCACGCGACCACGTGATAATATAGTCCGTTCCCGCCTTAACGGCCGTGTGTCGCGGCACATCCGTTGCAGCAGGAGTGCGTGCATATGACGCCCGAGTCGTGGGGTCTCCACGCGGGTGTTCCTCCCTCCTCTCGCGTTATTTCGTATTATTTGGCTATCGAATTCACCCGTTGTGTACAATACACGCATTTATATTACAGATTGTCAATGCGTTTTCGTTTAAACAAAAAAAAAAAAAAACAAAGCGTGACGTCTGCGTTTTTCGACGCTTCCATTCTGTGTACAGTGCATACGTTATACGCTGCGGGGGCGTGTGCATGGGCAGTGAGACGTTTTGAATATTGTATTGCGGCAACGCGCCGCGAGCGTACCGGGGGTCCGGGGTGTAGTATCTTCGACACACAAGCGTACCCCGTGTAGGGTGTACGCTTTTTGAAGTGTCCGGTCCGCAAGTGGCCGAAACGATCGCGACCCGGGGGCGTTTCGCTGAAAAACACATTAAACACTGAACGCGAATCGGGGGTGGCGCCGTCGGGAATTCGAAAAAAAAAAAGGAAAAATTCCTTTTAAAACAATCAACCGCCGTATCTTCGAGGTGTCACCGCGCGCGTGTAAAATTCAAATTATGTTTTCGTTTCTAAAGCGTCCGAGCCGGAACAGACAGGTACGGGGACCGCGCGCCGTGTTTAAGCATCTCGTCCGTCACTTTGTACGCGCGCACGGCAAAACGCTCACGGGCGAGTCGCAAGTGTATCGTTTTTTTTTTTTTTTTCATTAGATCGCGTAAAAACCGCCGTTCGGAGGAGGAGCCGGACCCCAGGGTGTCCAGGTACGATTTTCGCGACAGTCCGCGACAACAGCGGGTATTGTATTTACGGTGCCGGCCGTTAAAAATGATAAACGTTCGTTCGGCCGGAAATTCCCGGCGGTAAAACACTCGACAATGTTACGCGGTCGCGTAACATAACGCTAAAACGTTACAGCCAATTCGCGCGTCGAATACGGAGACGATATTATTATTGTTGTGTGTTTTTTTTATTCTACGTAAAGGCAATACGGTCAATATTTCGAGGACGGACAAAAGTCGCTGTACCAAAAAAACGCAACTCGCCAAAAATCAATTCGGGAATGTTTAGTCGGAATTACTCGTTCGCGCGAATCGTAACGATTATTATTTACGAGCGCGCGTATACGATTCAAACGACCTACGGAATAACGAAAAAACCGTATCGTACACAGTAGTAATAATAATAATAATAATAAAAAAAAAAAATCGTTTTTCTTACTTTTTCCGAGGAGGCCGTTATATACGTACGTATCTATTACTATGTTATACGTATACAACGCCGCCCGCGTTCGTTCAACAGTAAATATTATTGTCATCGAGCGACATAAACGTATACGTATAAATATCGCAACGGACGTAAAAATACGCGGACAGCGTTAACACTTTACTGCAAACAAAATGTCCGTCTTGGTCATTTGTTTAAACTCGAATTTTATCCGAACACACGGATTTGGAATGGCTTCGTGCGGTTGTCTAATATTGTGCTACACACACACACACACACACACACACAAAATCATAATAATAATATACAAACACACTTGTTGCTCGTACGACGCATACAAAACTACAAACCTAGAGCGAGGCACGGGGTTTCTAAGCACACCGTACAGTTTCGTCCTCTCTCTCTATCTCTCTCTCTCTCTCTCTCTCTCTCTCTCTCTCCGCAGTAACAAACACACGCTGCTCGGTCATATTATTATAAATACACGCGGAGTACGGGTTCACTTCCCTCCCGTCATTGTGTCACAATACACGGTAACGAAACGCAACTAGATTTCGACGGAAGAAAAAAAAAACGACGACGACGACGACGACGATAATAATAATAATAATAATAATAATTATCGACCTTATATCGAAGAGCGAACGCGGTGCGATCGGGTGTCGACAAAAAATAACGTCCAGTCGAACGAAACAAAAGTATCATAATAATGTATCAGGTATTATCATAATATTACAAATTACCACACAATGGCAATAATTTCGATTCACGTAGTGTATTCGACTCGGGAGACGTTTTCAACGTGTAGGCATATAATGGGCGATAGGTATTATTGTAAGCATAGGGACGGAAAATGTACTGCAAGTTCAACGCACTGTACATAATATACGGGGTGATCAATGTATCGCAAGACACTCATTATCTCGGTGAGTTTTAACTTTTTTCGAAATTCGTTTTAACGAACATTTAAGAAACAAGCTGTTCTAAAATTTAACATTTACATTATTTTTTGTTACTCTTGTTTTTGGGGGTGAAACGACTATCGATTTTCAAATGGCAACCTATCTTGAATATTCCGTAAATTGATGAACTAGCAGTTAGAATAAATTTTGATGTTTGAATTTGTAATTTTCGTCAACGGATTGACGGAGATTAAAAATATAAACATCAAAATTTTCTATAAAACAAATATCGAAAAAAATTAATAATTTCTTCGTAAACGTTCTACCCGAGCCCTGATTAAGGAGGGGTGGTCTAGGGTGGGCCATGGCCATCAGGCTCCCGGGGCGTCGGTTTTTGCCACAGAATGTCCTTTATGTATGCATTTAACTTGCTTTGTACTTTGATAATTTTTCGTTACCTGATGATAACTTAATATCGTATTACTAAACAGTACAAACAATACTGCCTAGTGGCTCTGTTAAAAATAATGTAATTTATTTATTTAAATAATACTTGTGGTTTTTGAATCTATACGACGTCTGTACTATATCTATACTGTATTTATATTATATTATTTTTCTTTCGTTAAAACGTATTGATTATAGAAAACAATTTTAAAATAAAAACTATATTTATTAGTCTTTCAACGAGAGCCTCGTCGAAAAGTTTAACCCCGGGACCTCTAAACGTCTTAATTAACCCGATTACATCGGACGTTGCGTCGAGATCGTTTCCGCGGTCTTTTTTACGAAACGTACGTGAATATAATGCCAACGACCCCAAAAAAAAAAAAACTGTCCCTAAAAAACGGCTATCGCAACGGCCGAAAATCGTTTGCGTGCGCGCGCGCGCGTGTGTGTCTAATAAGTTTTGACTCCCGAACACGGTTACGGTTCCGTTGTTTTCTTTTTGACGGACTCGGCGATCGAAAATATTGCAAACAAAGGCCCGCTGCGGTAAAAATATTGTACGACGATTGTTTTTTTCCGCTAGTTTTTCCGTGACCCCTCTTTATTATATTGTATTACAAATTGTCTAGTAGTATTTTAAGTTCTTTTTATTTTTTTTTTTTGGCGTGTGCATTCTCATGGACGACTTGTTCGAAACCGGCATCGCGGAACCGCGTATATACAGTCACAAGGGACACTCGCGGCCGGTGGGCTATTATATTATTATGATGGCGCGCGGGGTCTAAAATAGGATATACGGCGATTATTAATAACGTGGCTTTTGTATGTGTATATATAAAAAAAAAAAAAACCCGCGTAGAAGGGTGCGGGGAAAACGCAGAAAATTATTGTAACACCCGGTGGTAGGCCAGGTGAAGTTGGCAAACATACACTCGGAGTGTCATTAATAATTCCGACATTAGGACACCCTGTGCCCGCAGTGGGCCTTTGCTGCGCAGCGGGACTACCCAGTCGATAATAGAAACGTTTAGCTTGTTGAATCGAATATGTCATTATTCGGAAACGAGAGAACGAACGTGTGCGTATACAAGAGGAACGGTGGAAAGAGGGGCCGTGGGGGGGGAGGGAGAAAAAACATTGTGGATGACGTACATTATTATTATTGTTGTGGAGACAAACCAGTTAAACCGGCGAAATTTCAGCGGTAGAAAGGGAGGGGTTAGGGAGAGGGGGTATTATGCGCGTCCGTGACAAATGTCGCCGAAAAACCGAAATACTATACCGCCAACAGTATTCTCGAACAATAGGATTCTCCCCTCCCCCAAATCGATCAATGTCTCGAACGATAATAATAATAATTATTAGGACTCGACACGAAATTACAACGATACATAATGTTTTATATCTAATACAAAATCTATAATAAGTTAATATATTATTACACACGAATTTCGTTTTTGTTCATCGTCCCGCCGAAACCAGTTATCGTATACGTCGCACAGATGTTCATGGGGGGGGATGGGGGGTTAAGAAATATGCGTTAAGGGGCGAGAATATTTTCCAATCATTCAATATCCGAACGCGTCATTGACTCTGAAAAAAAGAAAACCATAAATATTTCAGTAGGCAACGTTAAACTCGGTCTTTGTTGCGTAACGCACGTCACCGTCGTCGTCGCCATCCTAAACAATGCTATGATGCCAAGGTGGACCGGATGCTACGATATTATTATAACACAAGCGATTTTCGAAAACCTCGGAAGTGCGATGTAAAAGACATAAGGTTTTTTTTTTTTTTGTGTGTCTGGAACGTTACGAAATGCGAAGGTTGAAAACCCGTGCTAAATACCGACAGACGAATAATCCGCGTGACTTTCTGCGGACATAGACGCCAAAAACGAATAATTCGAAAACCGCATTATACTGTGCGTAAAATGTAAATGCATTATATAGGGAATCCAGAATTGTATATATATTTCGGTAATGGAAATACTTTCTCCTATATTTACATACAGGGCGGTCCGTTTAACTATTTGAGCGGATCGCCCGTTTTTCGAAATATCGAGTATTGTCGTTTAATTGCACCTCCTGTAAACTGGTATAACTACTGCAATATTGTAATTTATTATTAGGATTATTCGGACGGTACAGCTGAATTTCTAAACAGAAACGAGGAAGGCAGAAGAAAAACATTGTTATACATAATAATATGATTATACGAGGAATAGATTTTTTTTTTTGTGAAGATATATCCATTAAATATCCATTATCTATAGTATCATTCTTGGAATTTTATCTACCAACTGAAAACACTGTTTTTTTCTTTTTTTTTAATCGAGTTTCTAATTCACGAGTTACGATCGGGTCAGCAATTATTATTAACTTAACTACAGTTAATTATATTATATGGCATAGTGTTAATTGACATTACATATATTATGTTTTTTAAACGCATTAAATACTGATTGATATACGTTGCACGTTTATATTTACAGTGGCGTAACCAGGATTTATTTTCGGAGAAGGGGGTGATATGTATGAATGTAACCAGTTTAATATTCGTAGAATCAGAGCCTGTGCAAAACGAAATTTAAAACTGCACGTATTCCTGTTTGAAGACACGTGGTAGCAGAAATAGAACTGTTTTTAAATCAATTTAACGATTTTTTCGATTGTAAATGGAACGAGGATTGTATGGGTTTACAATGACGTTTATTTTATTATTATTAGTTTTTCATTGAACAACTTTTCTATTAGAAATTTTGCTCCGATTTTTAAGTGTAGCACTTTTTCTGAAATGAAATTTGACGGGGGCGGTACTTGAAAAAGGTTATTTTTTGATTTTCGCGGGGGGGTTTCATAATAAATAGGGAAAACCGGGGAAAAACTCAGCTCAGAGTCGTTTTTCGTTAGTAATGCTTAATCGTTGCGTACAGATTTACATTAAATTTCTCTTCTACCTTCCCAACTTCTCACCGACAACAGTGGCCCCCACCTATTACGCGAATTATGTCTGTTTGTTTTTTTATTTTAATATTTCGCTAAAAAATTTCGAATTGGTCTCGACCCTTGGAACCCTTCCAGCTTGTTTACAAAATAAAGATCGAAACATTTTCTTTTTGCACATAATATGATAATTTCATTGTCAATACATCGCTATTTTCAAATTGATTTTTTCATACTCGTAAATTCAGGAAATTCGTCCCGTTGTAATTCAGTTGACAATTTTTAATTTTACTTCTTGTGTTATTGAAGAGAACAATATTAAATATTTTTAAAAACAGCACAATATAAGTTCTTTCGTAGATTGCTGGACAATTATATTTTTACTTATGCACAAGCACATAAAGAAGGGTAGATTATTGGGAGTTACACCGCTTCCATCGTTTGCAATTTCAAGAAAATTGAGAATTTAAAATTTTCGTAAATAAAAATCTTTGTTTAATAAGTTGATCTATTAAACAAATGGATGAATTAAACATACATTTTTACTACCTCTCTCGGAAAATTCTATGCGTATACGTGCTTGCTAATAGACAGTATGATACACGTATAAGGCGCATTACGGATGTATATTCCACGGTTGAATGTTAATGTAATAGTACGCGTTTGTATGGTATTCACAAATATGCAATGGGAACTTTTTATGTTAATCCTCGTGGAAGTTTATTCACAAAATGTCTACTCTACTTGACATGTAATTTTACAGCGGAGATGATTTTTTTTTTTGAACTATTTAGATTTAGTGAGTTGTGTGTAAAAAAAAAAAAAACAGCATTGTACAGTTCAAGTGTTACACGTGTGCTCAGTCGCATAGAAATTATGGCCTACGTCAAACGAATACGCGGTTGCAGTACATTAATATGGTATTTTGATAGATTACAATTAAAACAATCCACTTCGGCGGTTACGTTGACGTTTAGTTTTATATTCGAGAACACGTTGCGGCAAACAGAGGGGAAAACCGTATAAGTACCTCGTAAGTATACTCGTATTATATTTTTCCCCAACAACAATGATTGAAATAACGTTTATGCATTCTTAAAGAAGAAAAAAAAAATTGATGTTTTCGACCTTAAAGACGACAATGGGAACCGAGATCTTATTTTTTCACATCTAGTCCACCCCTTCACCGACCTTGATTCAATAGGATTTTTCGACCTGATTGCACAACGCAACGTCCATGCTAAATACGACGTCTGCTTGTCCACATTAATTTATGTACCCTGTTTTTTTTTCCTACAGGTCTCAGGCGTTTTTAGGAGGGAAAAGCAAAATACCAGTACCGTTGTCTACCTACGCAGACGTTTTCGAGATACCGCACACGGGCAAACAACATAATATTATCTCAAGTCCTACCACGCGCAGATCGCGTTACGAAATTTCAGGCGAAAAAATTGGTATTTCAAAATAGAAAGTTATGCGTATTTTGCGTGCGCTGCGAGCAAACGGCTCGACGAAAGTTTTGCGATCGCCGGCGACGCCGCTGTAAGGTTAGAGTTGCATGTCAAAGGTGAATTATCGGTTTATATTTTTAAGTGCCCGGCGTCTGGGCGTGTTCTAAAAATATCTTGTCGGAGGTCACATATTATAACGCTAAATAAAATGTGTCGTTATAGTTTATAGACTATAAATACAAAAGACACAAAATGTACGCTATCGTTCAACGATTCTTTATAGCGACGTTTTCAAATATATCGGTCGACAAAAAGAGACTATGTACACGTTTTCAAGTTTTTTTGTTTTTTTTGATACTTTCGGTATTCAATTCAGTGCCAATATAACTGCAATAACAAAGTAAAAATAAAAATTATGCTTTCATATAGCAGCGTCCATAGGATCACCGGAAATCACATATTCCGGAAATGTTTCAAGCACTATATGGGTAAATATTGTTTTTTTTTTTGTCAAAAAATAACATTATAACGACCGTGCCCAAAGAATCCGTGGACCGTTGCCAAGTCAAATTCTGGCGAAATGACGTAATCTAAAAATGATATTAAATACCATAGACCATCTAGTTAGCGTGTCGTTTATGAATACAGTATGTAAGTACAGTGTAATATTCATAAAATTACTTAGATATCACGTAGAAAATTGCACATTGTTATTGCTTTGAAAATAAATTAACATTAATAATCGACATTTTCAATTGTTATTTCTATTAGGAAATAACAACGGGACGAGCTTTTTAAGCCGTACGCGCATTTATATGTATTTCCCGATTGTACACAGTACGCTACGCTCCATTTGGAAACTATATTGTTTATTTTTATCGTGTAAGAATATAATTGAAACGTATTGTATAATGCATGTGTTCATACGAATATAATATTCTCGATGTTTACTCAAATCGCATACATACTAGGCGTAGGTACCTTTTATTTTGGGTTTGTCAACAACCCCGGAACCCCTTTTATGACCGGTGCGTTGGGTTTTGTACGAAAACGAATATTGTACCGTTGGCACACACACGCGACTCGTTAATATTGTACGGTTTTAAGATTAAAGATAATAAAATAATGATATGTAATAATAATCCACTTGAATATTATTATGCGGTGAGTTTTTATTGTACAGTATTTTACGTTTATTTTTTTTCTTTCCTTTTAACAAGTACAATAATGGTTAGATGTATGTGTTCGTTATTAGTATGATAATATATTACGATGAAAACGTATAGAAAGTTGCACACGTATAACTTAAAAAAAAAAAAAAAGTATATTCCGCGAAAATTAGATAATATAGTAATAAATCATTGTTATAACTCCGGTTTAAAATCTTTATGTAAAACAACAACTGATATATTATTAAACAGTACGCAAAATTAAGTCCATTCAATCATTATCATATAATATACTATAACATATTATATACTATACAGTATACGTAATACAATATTATATGTATCGTATTGTTTGGAAAAAAAAAAAAAAAAAAAAAAAAAAAAAAACAAACGAATACTCTTTTCCTTCGTAATAATATTATTATATTCGTTTATGAAATTAATTTTTCTGAAATACGAAACGATTAATTTGAAATACGAGTCGGCATGGGCGGCGTACGAGTTAAATTAACGTTATTATATACGAATAAATAATTAATCCCGCATTAAACGGGGGTCGATAAAACACGGTTCCTTTTGAGTTTCCGGCCGGCTTGTCAAATTCTCAAATGAATCGAAATCCCCCAATCGACTTACAGTCATTAGTGCGTAGCCACTGTAATCGGTTCTTGTGTATTATACACGGTATATTGCAACGTATACGTATACGTGCGTAAAACACACACACACACACACACACACACACACACACACACACATATATATACACTGTATACATACGATAGGTAGTAGTACACGGGGATTTGACGGATCGAACCCTATACATTTAGCTGTATCTATCGTTTGCGTAGCGAAATAATGGAACGGTTTTAGTATGGCGGCGAAGATACGGACTGCACGGGACGATTAATTAAATTTCTATTAAAAAGCCGTTGTACCGACAGTATTACGGTATTTAACCGATTTGTATTGAAATTTCACCAGTTCTTGTACCGGTGTACATAGTGTAGCAGTTTTGATAAATCGGTAACAATCAAACGTGTGTATAGGCACGGAAATACAAAATAAATAGAGAATTACTCGTGTTGATATAGGTGTTACGAGTGCATTATTTTTACAAAATTAGTTCGGCCCGCAGCCGATTACGCGTATTTTTCCGTGGCGATAACCGGGTATGCGAAATTAAAATCGCGAGCGCTATATCGCGATTAGGTATAACAGTGACCACTCGGTATCGTAATGTCATCATTTTGATTGACAAAAAAAAATATTATCGTTACTGTACATAAACCATTTATCTATTCAAACACACAAGCACTCGGCTTCAAAGGGACAAAACGTATACAGAAATAATATCGCGATTCGAATTTAAATGCGCACGAAAGAAATGGTCTGGGGTCAGGGGAGTTGTCAAACGTGAAACTTCCCCTGCAGCAGTGAAAATTGCCAGTATATTTTTCGTTAAATTAACCCGTCCGTCCCGTTCAGATTCCCTCGGATCGCTGCGGAAAAATATAAGACACTGCAGTTACTGTTTTAAAACGAATGTCAATTGGCTTTCGAGTTGACGAGACTATAAATCCACTTTTTTTTTTTTTTTTCATTTCCCCAATGGAAAAACTATAGACTATCACGGGTATAGACCATACATTTTCCAAGAAACTTTACACTTGTTTCTTAAATTTTCCGTTCGGTCCGTAGTATCCGTCTTCTTGTTCATTTATAACACTGCAACGTGCGTATATAATAGTTTAATGTTTTCTCTACGAATATAATGAGACCATTGTATTATTTATATTATACTTGTTCGAAGAAGACAAATCGTTTGGCCCTCGAAAAACCAGATCCGAAAAGTGAAAGCGATATCTCCCGCCTACAGGGTGAGCCAATTTATTCCAATAAAACGTCGCCAGCGCCCGAGATCGGCTGTCCATCGATCACCGTTAGAATAAAAAATGAGGGGCTATCAACACTTACGTGCACCGTCGTCGTTTAATGAACACTTGGCCGTGCGTCATCCGGACGTCTTTAGATGTTTGATACAGTGTTTTTATTTTCCGTATGGGTACCTTCCGTTGAAAAAAGGAATGACGATAATAAACATAAAAGAAAGTCGGGAAGGTACAGGATACCGCGTGGCGTTTTATTTCACTAATACCTGTATAGACGACGTTAAGTCATTACAACTCTGAACGAAGTTCGGTTAAACGTGTGTTTTGAAATGCGGTAGTGATTTTCATGATTTTCGTAGAAGTTTACAACTTGACCTTGTGTTAAATTCTTTAGCGTTTTGGCCGGGCTAAAAAAAATTGTATTCACATAAAATTAAATAGAAACGAAACAAAAAACTCGACATTTCAAACGCAAATAAATAGTTCATAAAATTCCGGGTAGAATGTTTCGCGCATTTGACCACGTATAGACGTGACCGCTAATACGTTAATTATTCTGTGGAAATTGCATTTGCGATTGTTAAAAGAACTAGACACGGAAAATCGAATGGCTCCTTCTATATGCGTACCACACGAGAAAACATTTTCTTTTATAGATACGCCGCTCGATGATGATCAAGAACAAGATATCCGGTGGAAAATTCGTTCGAAAAACACACACACACACACATACATGTACAAAAATCGTATGTTCAGATACATTTGAAACCGATACGCGTTTTTCGCTTCGTTCTGAATCTAAAACACGTCGTAATAACAAATAGTTTTAGTTTCTGAGTGGAGTGAGGAATGTATTGGTTTTAAACTGACGTTTATTTTATTTTTTTTCTACGAACATCATTTCTACCAGGAATTTCGCTCCGATTGTCGATAGTAGCATTTATTTCGAAAAGAAATCTGACCGGGGTGGCGCTTTTAGAGAGGCGGTTATTTTTTTTTTTTAATTTTTCATAGTTCGTCGGAAAACCCGGGTAAACACAAGGGAAAACAGGTGCACAATATAAAACAAACGGTATCGAAGAAAATGTACAACGCATTAGACGCAATTATTACACCGTAATACAACATGATGCGACGCGCGTACATTGTTGACGAAACAACGCTAACCGAACGGCCGAACTCCGCTCAGAATCGTTGTTCGTTGGCGCCGGTCGGCCGTCGCGTGCACGTTTACCCTCTGCAACTTCTCGCCCACGATAAACGGCGGCCCGCCCACCGTGCGAAGCACGTCCGTCCGTCTCTCTTTCTACTCCCTCCACCACTCCCCCCCCCCACCGTTATAAACGTGAAATAAGCGACGAAAACGCGTTTGACAGAAACGCGTAGAAAAACAACAATAGTTCCCGATAGTAAAACACAGCCGTGCTACGGCCGCGCGCGGATACCGTCGATAGCAAACGTTATCGACGGCTTCGTTCGGCGAGCAACTGGTACGCCGCGCACACGTTACGATATTTATTATTATTATTATTATTTTTTTTTTCCGCACTCTTACGGCGGGCCGCGCGATAATATTTTCAAAACGGCGTCGACCAAACGATTGCCGCGGCGCGCGAGATTCGCGAACGAAAAGGAAAAACGGAAAGGAAAAAAAAACGAAAATAGCTGCGAATACGTGCGCGCGGCAACAACATAATATTATAGTGTCGACGGTCCGCCGAAATAACGGGGCGTGGAATCGCGCGATTAACGACGGCCGTACGTTTCTTCAACGAGAACGGGGGGTGGGGGGGGGTTGGGGGCGCGAAAACAACAAAAACAAACCGAACGAATTCGACGTAGTCCGTCGTCAACGCGCGGCGCTCGTTACGGTTAAAACATTGCGGTACGCGTACGCGACAACGAAATCGATATTTTCGAAATCGTAGAACGACGGTCGCGTTATTGTTTCTCGGGTTTCGCACTACTCCCGACAATAATGGTTCGGAAAAATGTAAATAAAACGATCCGGCGGTCCGGTAAATGAATACGAAACAGAGACCGCGTCGCGCGATCACGTACGCCGCATAGGTAAACGTGCGCCGCACGACAATATTCATCGTGTTCAACGGAGAGCGGACAGTTTTCAATTATATTATAATATAATTAGTCAACGAAAAACCCCCGCGGCCTTTACATTGTTATTCGTACACGTATATTGAAAACATCGACGTTTCGTCTAGATGTGTTTGTTACTACCTTATTTTTTTTTCATATACACGTGAAAAAAGAAAGACATTTTTTTTCCCGAGATAATTAATCTGTCCCTAGCGAAATACGCCTACGCAGTACTATAAACACGCGGAATTATTGTAGTGGACGAAACGCGCAATTGAATCGCGACTTTGACGTCGTGTTCGTAAAAAAAATGGCGACGTACCCATACTTGATTATGATTATATATTTTAGAATGAAAAAAAAAAACAAAACGAAAAACGGATAATTAACGGACTAATCTGCACACGTCAACTGCACACGTCCGTTTTCGCGTTGCTCTTTTCTCGCGCACGTTTCCGCGGTTTTTGGCGTTTTCGAAATTCGATTCGAGCCACTCGCTTGTCGAAAACCACGCGAAATCGGGAGACTCGCGCGCCTTTCCGTCCCGGGGCCCCCGAAGATTTTACACTGCAATATTATTGCGGCGTTACGCGTTTTCGCGATTGGACAGCGCCGCGCGCGACAGTCGTACAGAGTCGTAATTTTTTTTTTTTTTTTTTCCCCCCCCCCCCCCCCGTAATGTCTTTAGCGCGGCTCGGCATTAAAACCACTACGAATAATAACTGTTGTCGTTATAGACAATAAAAAATCGTGTCGCGCGTTAATTCCGGTGATAATTTACTACGCCGGCGGATACCATCGTCCGCGGCCGCCGCGATAACGGCTCCGATAACAATTTCACGTTTGAAGCGAAAAAAAAAAAATAAATAGAAATTACGGCCGAGAACCGGCGGGTCGTTGGCATCGGGTTCCCGGGGTCCCTCTATCCGTTCTTTTGTTCCGAGTCTCCGAGAGGAGACCACTTTGAAGAACGCGCGCGCGAGGACGTCGGCTACGACGGCGCGGCGGTTAGGACGCGCGCGGGAAGACCGGCCGGCTAACCCGCGCTCCCCAACCGGCCGCGGTGGCGGCGTACAATATCGAACAGGTGTTGTTATTATTTTAAAATGTTTTCTTCACTCACCTTGACTCATCAAAAGGAAACGGGGTGTGGAGTAACGTCGAGAAACCGTCTCCGAAAACGACCCGGCGCACGGTCGTTCGCGCCGTGCGGTTCGTTCTGCTGGCCCTGTCTCGTCGCCGGCCGGCGCGTACGATAAACGCGCGCGCACACGTTCGAACGAAACGAATATTTTTGTTTATTTTTTTTTTTTTTAATATTATGAACGCGCGCGTGACGTACGACGATAGTGTATATTATTTCAACGGACAACGTCGGTAAAACTCTCCGGTACAGCAGCGTAACGGAGTAACAGTACGATAATATATTGCGGATCGCGGTGAATCACGAGGGACTAGAATCGGTCGGTTAGCGTTATAATATAATAAAATACGACAACAACAACGATAATATAATGATAACAATAATAATAATAAACGAATACGATAACGCGGAATAAAATATAATTATTATTGTAAAATCACTTGTTACGTGTAAAAAAAAAAATTGTGAAAAATTCGACGCACCCGGTGTGGGGGAGGGGGGAACAACTATAGTGCGCGACAACGGCGACAACGGGCACGCGCGCGCTTTGATAGTAAAGAGTCTGTGTAGAGCGCGGAGCGTAAACGTGCGTCGGGTACTTTCCGAAACGGCGTTCGGGCATAAACTTGTGTGGGGAACGACTAAATCGGCGTGAGCGCACACGACAACTGCTTGCCGGTGGCGGCGGTGTTGTTTTATTCGACGGGGTCCCTGCCGCCGCCGGAGCGCCCCTTTTCCGCGGCCGCGGACGGGGAAAAGTCCGGCGTTGTGTCCCCCACCGCCGCGCCGCCGTCGCGCTACCGACAACGCCGCCGTCCCGCGCCCGTCGTCCACCTTCGCGAAAGTGTACGCGCGCGCGCGCGCGCGGGGAAAAATATTATACCCGATTTCGAGGATCCCTCCCATCGCCCGCGCCGCCGCCGTACCCCGCCGCCGTCCCGCGCTCGCGCGCGCGGTGTGCGCGCGACTGCGGGAAAGGGTGGCCGGGGCGGAAGGGTGGGACGGGCGGCGGTGCGGCCGGGGACGGCGACGGGGAGGAACGATCGCGCGGGCGATTGACAGGGCCGCGTGCTATAGGGACACGAGGCGGCGGCGGCGGCGGCAGGCCTTCGCCGGGAGGGGGCGGTGGGCGGGCGAGGTGCGGGACTGCCGCCGCCGTCGTAGTATTATAGGGACGCGCGCGTGCGGTCGATACGCGAAACCATCCCCTTCGCGCCGTAGCCGCCTCCCCACCTCCCACCTTTTCCGGTCGTCACACACGCACAGCCCGACGCGCGGTCTCGACGGCGGTGATTATTGTTGAGCGCGCGTGTGTGCGTGTGCTTTATGCTTTTGTATTTATGTATTTTTTTTTTCTACGCGGCCTACGGATAAACGCGAAGACCACGGGGAACACGGCGTCCGCGCGGGGGTAGAGAATATTCGCGTTTGATTTGTTCCCGCCGCCGCCTCCGTCGTCCGTCCGCGAGCGCGTGTGTTCTTGTCCGGCCGCCGCGGTGACTTTGACGGCGGCTTAACACGATCGTCGCGCGCGCGTATGCTCGTAGGTCGTTTTTTTCTTTTTACTTTCATTTTCTTCTGTTCTCCGATTATCGACAAAGGTTTTTTCGGCGTTTTATTCGTCGCCGTCCGTACAGGTTTTCGCGGCGAAAACGTAACGCGCGTCGTTCACTTTCCAGAGCCGTACGCGGGATTTCGAGAACGAAACGCGCCGGATAAAATAATGTAAACGTTCGAATAGAAACGACTTTTATGCAAATGCAGAGTTTTGATTTTGAAATCGTGTTAATTTTCGGAGAAAAGTGGGTGGGCCCCCGGGCCTACCGGGCCTGCCCGCCGGCTACGCCACTGAACCAAACCTCGACGCCGATTGTGTTGTACCGTCGTAATACGGGCAGAGGTACTTGGGCCGACATAATGTATCCGCGGTGTCGGGTGTCTACGGGAGATATTCAAGTATCTCGCCCCGTAGGCGCCCGAAGAGGATCAAGCGGTGTGGGTTTTCTAAAAAAAAAAAAACTTTGAAAACAATTTCGTATACGATAACGGTTAGGCGTCGCCGGCAGTTCGAATGATTAAAAATGTATTTATTTTTTTAACACCGTACCTTTTAAGGTTTACGATTTAATCGATACTTAAATTTTAACGTATCGAGGCTAATTTAGAGTATGAAAGTACCCATGAGATATACAAGTATCGAGTGTATTGTATCGTGTAGTACTTGTTACACGATAAGTATTTAGATACTGAAAATAGTATCTGCATCGAGTACCTAAATATGCTCATTTCGATGCGTCTAGCCAATCCCGGCGGTTACCATCGTCGTTTCGAACGTTTTGTGCGTGCTGTGGACGGGCGCAGGGATTGACGGCCGCTGCAGCAGTATGTAATGCAAATAAGACGCGTTTTAACGATGCAGTTTCCAACAACCTGGTTAAAATGGTTCAGCGATCAAAACGTTTTGGCAATATTGTTTACTGCAATTGTTCGGCAACCGAATGCATTTTTCGACAACTCGGCCGGTCGGAATCAACAAATATTTAAAACTACGTTTACCGGCTATCCATCGGTAAAATGCACTGTATAACAAACAAAACGTTTTGAAGATGTTACCGGCGTTGCGACCGAGTGACAAAACAATAATTCAGAACACTGTTCACCGAGAGTTGCATCCCGAAAACCCGCCTGTCGGGAAATTGAACGCGGGTAACATACCGACAATAACAATTAACACATTTCATTATTAGGGCTGTGAATTTGCAGGAAAGTGCATATTTTTTTTTAATCGATTTTAAAACGATGTTTGATCAGCATAACATTTGAATAATCTAACAACATAATATAATATTGTGTTGCGAAAGTTTTATTATTATTTTTTTTTTTTTATTTTTACCTTTCGAGGTTTTTCTTTTTAAGTTATTTTACTACATTTTTTTCTATATATTTTTTAATTTACACCGATTGTATAGTGTATTTATATATATATATATATAGAAAACACTTATATTTTTTACCCTTGTTTAAAAATATATTACTGTGTAAGTGTATGTAATACAACGTTCGATTTGCTACGATTCGACAAGACTGACAGCGGTCATTAATCCAGTGATATCAATAGTTATAAAGGTTCTATTTAATTTGAAACGTGTATTTTTAGGGATTTTCAATGGATATTTAGAAATTTTATGATGCACATTCGATATTCGTATAAGGTTTCATGAGGTATTAAATTCGCATCTATAAATTTATTATTACACACGATGCGCTACACGGGCACAAAAAAAAAAAAAAGAAAAAAAAAACGACGCGATTTTAATATAAAACATTCTAATAATGCATTTTTCAGACAGCGTATTGATCAAAATTATTTGTAATTTTTTTTGTACACGCGATTGTTATATAATATTATATAATGGAGGTACTCAAATTTCATAGTAGCTCGCTTACATTATACAATAGTTCCACTTTCTTCTTTCTTTCCTTACACATTATTTTGTCTCTGTTTTTAAATGTATAATTAATAAAGAAAACATTAATAATACTATTTTAATGCGTTTATTCTTTAATAATAATAATAATGATAATGAATATAATATATAAAGCTGATTAAAATATAAATTAGAAATTTAGCGAATAATACGTACTCTTATATATATATATATATATATATATATACATTAAATTAATTTCGTCTTTTATGCTAACAAAATGTATTAATTCTTTGTTATCTCTACGATGTATATAATGTATTATGTTCGTATAGAATGAATTAATACTATTAATTACCGTGATTTATTTGTGTGCCTAACCTAAATACGGATTTCTAAATAGCTTAAGGTCATTTAATTGAAACGCCGATAGGAAAAAAGGGCCGGAATCTAGTTTTTACTGTTCTACAGTACAAGGGCAAATTTTTTTTTTTTTGAAATTTTATCTCGACTAATAATATTATTTATTTTTCATATTGTCTCCGTATGTGGTGTGGGGTTTTGTTCATATCAATCGAGCCGTATTTTTTATAATTTTCTTTTTTTTTTTTGTGTAAATAATCGTTATTTTTAAAAAAAAAAAACACGCGGATAGACATTTGATTTATGACTATTAAACCTTTTTCGGCGAACGAAAAATACGTCATATAGTGACTTATTAGGATTATTTTCAGTATAATAATTAGTGATGCACACACACACACACACACACACATACACGCTTATACCATTTAGAACGAAAAATAAAGGGGAAAGAATACGCGAGACGAAATTTTGAAAAATAAAAAAAAACATCTTCTGTAATACTTCCGTGATATAGTCGTAGCTACGTGAAAATTCTCAAATCCGTGCAGTACGCAAAACGCGAACGCGTTCCCGTGATCGTCGCACGATAGTTCGAAATTTTCGATATAGAACCCCCCCCCCCNCCCCCCCGGGTCCCTCCCTCCGCGCCACTACCCGTACACTCGGTTATCGAATCCGACACGCGCGTTTGTAAAATATGATACTTTTTTTCGGAGTCATACGCAACACACCGCAACGGTGGTACCTGCGATAAAGCTTCTCGATCAATCGACCGCTGCGATCGCTCGGCGGGCGCCGCGTACGGGTGCGGGTGGATTCGTACGGTCGAAACGCTCGGAACGGAGAACGGAAAACCCGCGCGACGGCGGCACCGGCGCACAAGTGGAGTAGTGTAAATTGTTTATGCGTACACACACACACACACAGGTATGTTACGATAATATTGTACACGCGTTATCACGCCAGCGGTGTTAATGCCCGCGCATTATATCGCACGTGAATAATTGAGGCGTTCCCGTCGCCGAACCCGGTCAACAAGTGACGACCGACGGAACGTACGGCGAACCAAAAGAAAAACAGCGCTTTCAACGGTCGTGCTATGCATGCGAACGTGTGTACATGTGTGTGTGTGTGTGTGTTTTTTTTTTTTTTTAATTTCGTTTTTTAATATAGGCACTGATTTATGCGCGTCGTTTCGATCTCGCGCGTTATATTAATAAAGACTATTAGGTGCCGTGGAACGCATTGATCCGACACAACAACAATATATTCTCGACGACATACGCGCGAGCGAAGAGCCGCCGATATAATTATTAAGTCGGTCCGTTTTAATGAAATCGTCGTATACCTCTAATATAATCGATCGTTGTGATTTAACAGTTATTCAATAGTATATTGTGGTTCTCGCTGCAGCTATAAAAAAAAAAAAAAAAAAAAAACCTTTTATAATTATACGATTTTTGACCGTGTGTGCGCTTATTCGACCCTGATGGTATCAATACATTATGTTTTTGCCGTATATTATTTAAATTTAAAAAAAAAAAAAAAAACACGAAAAGCCCTTGATATTCTTTAAACCACCTGCGACGGGTCATGGTTTCCCCGTCGGCGGGCCAAAATATTAACGGCCTTTAAGCGTATAATTTGGTGAACATTTTGACGAGTCATGTGACCTAATAATGTGCTGTACATAATTTTCTTGATTTCTAACCGAAACGTCAAATACCTAGTACTCGGACAGTAAAATTGATGTCCGGTAAGTGAATCTAAACAATTTATACTCATTGGAAAATCTAGAGATCTATATCCAAATTAAAACTGTTAATATTCATTAATTAATAACTAATAAATATACCTAACTCGGGGAGGGGGGAAGTTGTTAAATGAATTTGATTCATTTGACCGTAGAACTTTTTGTGTGTTAAATATTTTATTTTAAAAGTAAATATTATTTTTTGTATCGACGGGACTTTGTCTACGCGCGCGGTCGAACCGATATTTATATAAAAATCGATATTTTTTTTGTTTTGATGAAAATACTTATGGAAATAAAAACAACGTGATGGTTTTTTCTCCGTGTCACGGGCGTTTTTGTTTTGGGCAACTTTCTCGATATTTGCATAAATAATAATAAAATTCGAAAAATAAAACAACAATCGATTGCTATCAAAAACGATCCATGCGAATTGAGTTCCAATACGAAAATCATTGTTTTCTTTCGTCGTTGTGTTCATAACTGTTAAAAGCAATAATAATTCAAGTTCGGTCGGATCAAAAATGAAAAAAATAAAATAAAATAAACGTTCGCCGCGTTATCGCAACAAGTTATAAACACCGTGTTGAACGTTAATGAAATCGAAAAGCTGTCCTAGGGTAATGGGGACGGGTGCAGCCACTGTTATTAGATAGTTTAATGTATATCCATAATCAACGATAAACCATTACTAACGAAAAAACGATTCTGAGTGGAGTTCGGTTGATAATGTTATTTCGTCAATGATATTGTATAATAATTAATATGTTATATTATGGTAAAATAAATACGTACGCTTTGTATAAATTATTTAATAATATTTGTTTAATAATGTTATACCTATTTTCCCGGTTTTTCCCATTTATCGGGAAAATAAAAAAAAGACGACCTAACTAATGTATCTCCCCAATCAGATTTTCTTTCGGAAAAAGTGCTATCAGTGTAAATTAGAGCAAAATTACCGGTAGAAATGTTGCGAACAGAAAAAAAATACGTCATTGTTGAACCATAAGCTTCCTCGCACCACTCAGAATCTAAAGGTATTAAGACACAACCGTATAGTTTTTTTATTCGTCGGACGTTTTTATTTGTTCGTCGCGACATATATATATATATATATAGTTTTCAATAATTACTGTGTTAATTCACGTCACACACATGACTCGCTTGAAAATCGAAAATATCGAAAAAAAACTTACACGGTCGCATACAGAATACCTTCATTTCTGATAATACGTGAAATCGCTCAGGTATTGAATCCAACGGCCTCTGCTAATAATGCAGTCTCTGCTGAACGCGCAGTCGCCGTGTCGCAGACGTTTGTAAGACGGAGTCTGTACGCCATGCGGGAACCATCGTAGTCCTCTTTTACAATAATAATAATAATTTTGTTGGGTAACTCCGTGAAATATTTCGTACACGACTTATCAGTTATCGTAATCTGTATTATAAATTATTATATTGATACGCGTGTACGAAACGCGTGCGACGCGTGTGTCTATACAGTCCCGAAAAATACGATTGCCGACAATAGTAAAGATAAAAACTTTTCGTTTTGAAGCTCTCGATGTTATACGGATGCTATTCGTATAATCTCGCAGACCGAGACAGTTTATTGCTAAAGTTAGAGACGAAATAACGGAATTATGGAAGATATTATCGCGGGGATTTGATTGGCGATTTATAGAGATAAAAAAAAGAAAGCAAGTTGTGAAGGTAGGATGTACAGAGTTATTCAATTTATATTATCTATCGTTGCAAACGAAATACGATTCTAAGCAAAGTTATGCATGTTGTTTTGTAATGCCGCAATTTTAACGATTTTCGTAAACACCTACTAGTATAAATAAAAACTATTTTACGCCCGACTTTTATTTTTTTTGACCGCTAAGTGAAACTTATAATTGCGTTCGGTTTTCAAGCATTTCTGATCGGCCGAAAGATTCTTTATCCACATAAAACCGAATGGAAACTCGAAAGTTAAAATGCTTATACAAATGGCTTAAAGATACCAGAAAGGTTTGAACATTTCACCACGTCTAAAGAAGGCTAACGTAGCATCGTGTTTCCATTACTGCGACTCTCCGGTTGAGTTTCGGGTAAAATTACCTATATTAAACATTTTATAAAGAAAAATATTTACCATGGCTTTCACGAACAGTTTTTTTTTCATCAAGATATGCGTGTTTTAGCGTTTTCTTGATTTTCACCATTAATAATAGGTACAAGCGTTCGGAGCAAAAGTCATCCGTAGGATTCATGGTAAATATCGTTTTTTTTTTTTTTTTTCTTAAATATCTGTAATTCGTCATTTCACCTGTACAATTAAATCTATCGCAGATATAGAATACGATGGCGATAACACCGAAAATTCAATTGACCGTCGTGACCCAAATAGAGTGAAAAGTCGGAATCGTTTCGACCTTGAAGTTTCTCGACAGGTCTTGGTCGTTGAACGTTTACCGAGATTACAACGGCCAATCAGAATGCGACAGGAGGCAAACGACAGCGTGGTTGGAATACCGAGTTAAAAAGTCCGTTTGCGAAATAATATTATCATCCCCGAAAACGATTCCACCTACATGCAAAAGCGACCGCTGAGAAAATTATACCGGTGCATAGCCGCACGTATACGATTACGATTTACGTTTATTTTTTTTTTCTCATTTTTCATATCTGCAATAATACACCCGATATGATGGCTTGACGAAAATGCAATACCTACCCGGGCGATTCCCAAGTTTTTAGTTTTATTTTCGTGTCGTCAGGAAATCCTTTGACGTTTTTGTTTATAATACTCGGCGAACAGTGCAACGCGGACGATAGATAATATTGTTGTTCATTAGCCAACGCGATTATTGCGAACGTATATTATTTTATGTTACTCGACAGTTCGGAAATCGTATAAAATGCACGCGTATAATCCGCCCGCAGTAATGCCTATTACTAGGTAACATAATAAACAATTATTGCGCGATATTACTACGCGTAAACGCGTACGATATTGTATTATCCACCGTTGAATTTATCGCGCCAGGGGCGCCCGCGGGGGAGGGGGAGGGTGTTTGGCGGTCATAACCCGTCCCGAAATTCGCGTTCAACAGAACCAATTTCGCGCTGATATTAGAATTGAAAAATTGACCATATTACCGACACCCGAGGGAAAAAACACCATCCGCGTTTTGTACGTATGTTATTGAAATTTACCGTCTATTACTGTCTAGTAAGTCTGTAAGCAAAAGAGATGAACGAAATTTACGGCTTGAAAAAAAAAAAACGGATTAAAGCCTTCCAGCAAAGATACTTTAACAGTTACTCATATACATATTCATATCATACACATATTCATGTGTTTACAATAGTATTATGTACAATTTGGAATTTTGACTAAATTAATAGGTCTCCCGACACCATTGCCTTTTTATTCTTTTCCTGGGGTTACCAGGTAAGTTTACAGAAGCTAGACCTTTGATTAAGGGATTGGTGCGGTTTTGAACATTGAAGTTTAATCGCCTATAAAAGGTTTTAGCTACATCACAAACGATGTGTGCGAAATATCGTAATTTTTTAAAAACGCGTATGTACAATCACAGATAACACGTTCGGGCCTTCAAGTTCGACAATAGGTCGATTCACTGTGATGTCGAAACTAAAATCATAACATTTGCCTCGTCACGCGTTCGTAAAGACGTACAGACAACAAATGCGTATCGCGTAGCGTCCTCTAAATATTTGTTCACATTATAATATCGTAAATCTGACAAAATTGCCTATAGATATTTTGTTTTCGGCCCATACTATTTATTAATTATTACGCGTATGATACGTGCGCACTAAGAAATATTCAGTATTGACGCATATACAGTTTGTACGACGACGTTAAAACTTCGATTTAGCGCAATACCTATAACTGATCTAACTTAACCCCATAACATTAAGGGGTTAAACTATTAAAATATTATAATGCCCATAATGTCCATAATGCCTATATGCCTGGCGGCGGTGCGGTTTTCATCCATCGCCTTTTCCATTTAATTATACACGAATAACGTTTAAATTATTCAAATTACAATACATTTTTACCGATGTAAAAAATTCGGTTTTGATGTTTTTTTTTTTTTTTTTTTAAAGTCTGACGGAACTCAGATAGTATTAAAACATGGACTCAATTAGTATTATAAATCTAGCTAAATGGCAAGGGATTCAATATTAGTGTATACCTAAAAACAACCCGGGACTAAATTCATTCTATAAAAAGTTTCATTGGGACTCGTACGCAGCCATATTATATCATTACATTTAATTATCAGTTTAGTGATAGTTTTGCAAAACTGACCGGTACAAATTCAATAAACTTAAATCACGCGACCAATTAAATAGCGTATAATATTTTTATCAACGAAAATTAACGAGAAGAAATAATGTCAAACCGCGTTTTTCGATAATTTCATAAACAGTTTTCATTGTTTAAACTACGCATAACATACACATAACTATCACGGGCTTTTTAATAATATTTTGAAAACTGTTTGATGTTTTTTTAAACCATTTTAACACGTTTACATAATTACGTACGTGTCACACATAGTTTTGGTTTTAAAACGGTTTTAACCGTTTAAGACCGTTTTAACGTCATCGTACAAATCATGTATACGCCGTATCTATGTGTCGCATTTAGAGTAACCCGAGTAAATTATAGATATAGATATATATATATGGATAAATAATATGCTCGATCCAAAATTAACCAACAAACGGCAATAATTAACTTGTATAATCACCGCGGACTTGTACGAAATGTCGTCTGAAGAATAAAACGCGGCCGAGCACTTCGTAGGAATTAACTACAGAGACGTATTGATAAATCATGCGTTTTAGATAAACAATAATTACAATTTAGTAAATATTACGTTAATTCTATTTGTTTAGCAAATAATGTGCCTAATTATGTAATATGAAATTGTGTACGACCCGAAAAACTTTTTATTTACACGAAACGCGCACACAGTATTACAAACGAATAAACATGTACGAAACAAGAGAATTAAAATGCTGTTTACACACTGCGAACACATAGGTTTGGATCCGCGGTTTGTTTTGATCGTTATGCATACATTATACATGTTCGTGCAGATATTTTAGCGGCATCGAAACGGCGAGAGAAAAAAAAAAACAAACGGCTCGATGTTCCGTTTAACAGTAGCAATATTTTGTGCGTACAATCAGTGGCGTTTCCATTGGGTGCACTGTAGACATGCTGAGTATACAATCCAACGTTTTTTTTTTTTTTTTTTATATAATTCGTCATAATGCCCACTATCGTTGCCCGCTCGATGTTCAAACCACTCATGTCACTAAAACCGTAACACGAATTGTATTTATTTCGGTAATTATGACTGAAAAAAATTATAATTTTCTTACGATATACAACACGTTTTTTTTTGATTCTGTTTCAAGTGATGTGTTGGTTGTACACACCTATGATGTGTACAAATAACTTTTCAACCAGAGATCACGTTCCGATCAAAAACCTAATTTAGAACTTTCTTGTAGCATTTTTGATCTAGTTGGAGCACATTGACGATGACATTCTTTCGATTTTCTTAATGAATTGAAAAAACCCGGCAATTTTCGGTATTTTTTTTTTTATGTAAAATAAGGGCATCGGCAGAAAAAATACGACTAATAATAATCTGATCAGAATTAATTGTTTTTCGTCGGCAACAGTTTATCGTTGAGTTCAGATAAAAATTACTCTTTATTATCGACCTTTTAACTTCTCTCCTAAAATAATGGCACACCCATTAGCAGTATCAGCCTTTTTAAAAATTAAAAGTGTTTTATTTTGGTAATTAAATTAAAATTTTTGTTTAATTGATTACAAAATACTCCGTGTAAGGCGCAGGATTTAAGGCGTATTAGTATATACTCTTAATATAAAACTGACGGGAAAAACTGCACTTGGTACAATAATCGACTGGATATTTATTTTGAAATTAGTGCGGGTACCGTATAGTTTACGTACCTTGTCGAGTACTCGGGGAAATGGAAGAGAAAAATTACATTCGAGCAACAATCGATGAGTGTAGTTGTACACGAGTCGTTATATTACATTATACGCGTTCTAAATGTTAGGTCATTTGTTTTCAATTTCTGATTGTCGATGTTGAATTGTTGACAAATGACTGTATAAAATTATTGTTAAAGATAAACACACTCGATATGATTGTATTTCGTGCCAGTGATATTATATTAGGCGATATTGCGTCTGTATGGTTCTTCCACACGCGCTATAGTCACAAGTGAAAATAATGTTATGAATTGTATGAAGAAAAAAAACGAACTATAGATAAAAAAAAAAAAAAATGTATTAATAGGTTCAGAATATTAATCGCGTCTCGTGTTATTCTGTAATATTATTGATATTTTAACATAGAAAAAAATAATAATCTAAAAACCATAAAATATTATGCGATCGTTGGATTTCGGTTGCGTTTTATTGTTTTCAAGGTTATCCGTTATAGGACGGTCGAATTTAATTTAATTTACCGTAAAGTCGATATCGAGATTACCGGGGTTTTTCTCCGTAATAATTTTTTTTTTTTTTGGATCGGATTGGTTTATTATATTATTAAATGAAATACCGTCGTATTTTATCGGTAAAATCTAAAATAAATAACGATTCGAATAGTCCCGACCAAATCGACAAGTGAAATCCGTAGAACGGTCGGTGTACTGAACACGCGTACTAGTGGCGGATCCGGGGTAGCGAGCAATAGGATCATTTGCCTCCGGCCTCCCCAAACACCGTAGTATAGTATGCATTTTTATTGTTTTGTGGTAAAATATATGTACCAACTTTCAGTGTTGTAAATGGTTTTGCCACCCCCCCCCCTCCTAGAGCTTCAACAATCAAAGAATGAAAAAATACGCTCTTCACCTACATTGTCCATCCACGCCGGCAAGGCGATATTTTTTTTTTTTTTATTACATTCAGATCGCGTGCCCGCCGAAGTGATGTATAAAGTATCCATTAAAATATTACACTAGTAATACGCGGTGTGTCGGTACTAAAGCAATGCGGTTAAAATGGAAAAAATCTTCGAGGGGGGACTATAATAACCAAAAATTGAAGGGCGTTCCCGACAGCTAAATAAATCCAACCAACATTTTAGGAATTCCATCATGGAGACAAGACTTTTAAAATGTTAAAACAAACTGCGCCCACTCAAAGTGAAACAGTGTGCAATCCAATATAGGTATTTTTAATACAACGACTCTTACGAATCGTAGTTTGCATTAAACGAATTTCATTAAAAATAGGTGTAACTCCAACGAAAGCGTTTCCCCGGATTTTGAAGATTTAAACTAAAGAGAACGGATAATTTCATCTTAAATAAGAAGGATGTCCGCTTTGACCACTGACTACAAGGTGGTAACTAGTGGTGCAATGAGAGTCTAAAGCCCCTCTTAATGCAGAGGCCGAGCCCCTCGTCAATCGCATTTTTTAATATTATATTCTCCGAAAGTAAATGAGCTGTTTGCGTCACTGGCGGTAACCACAATACTGTTACCGAACTACAATTGTACATTGATTAGTCCATAGTGATACTGGAATGGGTGTTATGGCAACGGCCCCGGCGGCGTTTGCAGAAAATTGTCACGTTTAAAACGTGCGGTCGACTGGACCAGTAAAGGAGGGCTGCGGAATCTACAATGCTCCGCGACCGCGTTAAATCGACCATCACCGGCCGAACACGTATTTCCGAAATGATAATTTAAAAAGGACTCGAAACCTTTGAAAACCGCCGCGTACCGCATTCAATTCCATTAGACCCGCGTCAAAGTCCGCACTCGTGTTTCTTACCACCTCGAGGTCTCCGGCAATTAAATAATACACAGCAAAACGATTGACGCGTATTATACTTAGTTACATTTATACGCGCGAAAGTACTCCGCGTACGGTTCGATATCGTCGTACAGGTCGTTTTCAGATTCCGAGTGGAGCGAGGAACGCGTTGGTTTTACAATTATTATGTTTATTATTATTATTTTTTTTTTTATCTGTTTCTTTTATACCACTTATCTACCAGTAGTTTTGCTCCGATTTACAAGTGGTGTAGCACTTTATTTGAGAGGAAATTTGACTGGGGTGGTACTGGGGAGGTGATTTCCCCAGAAGTTTAGCATAGTGTGTTACAATATCAGTTATGAGCAAGGCTTGTACTTTGTAACGTTTGCTAATAATTATTATTTAATGTATCATCATCTAGTTTAGCGCACCCCAAAACGATTAAACCAGACATTAACTGATATATTAGACGAAAACCCGATTTGTTAAATGCTTTTTTGGACATTATGTAGACATTTTACCCCGAAAATATTGGTACGAATGTCGGATTTGTAAGAAAAAAACCTATACCATCAATAAAAATGAACATCGATTTATGGATCTTCCCACATCCACTATAATGTATATACTACCTTTATGCGATAGATGTGTAGAAACGAGTATTTTCATTACGAGCGTCTTATCGTAATAAAAAAATTTTCGGTCACATTATCACTTGTTATCGTAAAAAAGAATAAAAATTAATATATATGTATACATGTATACATATAATATATACTTATCTAATAATACCATTGACGGATCTAGGAGGGGGGCAACGGGGTTATTTGCCGTCTCTTCTCCAAACACCGTAGTGGAGTAGTATGTATGTTTTGGTTACAAAGTCTTTTATTTTATTATTTTTAGTACTATATTTTCACCTCCTGACCTTAACGATATCATAGTGTATAATTTAAGATTGCCTATACAACTATTAGGCTGTTCTATTTAGCAGCATTGGATAATCTTGACAACAATGAAAAAAATACGACTAATAATACTTTGCTCAGAATCGTTTTTATTTTTTTTTTTTTTTTTTATAGCAATCGTTTCGTTCAGATATAAATTTAATTACACGTCCGTCAGCTGCAGTATCGGGTTTTTTCGTGTAAATATTATACCGGTCGGCACAGGTAATAATACGGTTTCGAGTCTGTTCCGGTCCCGTCGTCGTGATGTCGGTACGAACGCACAAACACGCCGCCGGATGTATGTCATTATAATGGTCTGCGAAAACTCAACTACGGGTGAACTTGGAATTATTGACAGACCCAGCATTGACATTGAACAAATCAAATTAGTCTTGGGTTTAGCCGCACGGTCCTCGGACCTTGAATGAGTACAAGGACCCCTGCGGGCGACTCTTAATTTTCATATAAGTTTTTTCTTCCCCTCCACAATCCCCTCTTCCCCGTTATATATCTGTTACGATGTGTGTAGGTTATTCAGTTCATTCGCGCCAAAAACAAGGACGTATTAAAAATTCATTTTGCCCCTACTCTTGTTTTTTTCTTTTTTTTTTTTAATATGAAAATTTTCTGAAATGTTTTATTTTAAAACACGGTTCATGTCAAGGCTATTATACATAATATATCGATAATAATAATAATAATAAAATGTATTAACACTGTCGTATTGTAACTACATTTAAAACCATAGTCATTATATTTTTATAACATCTCTTTACCGAGTATTAACTCGGCACTAACCGTTTTTTTATTTATTTTTTTTTGTATTAATTTTATTAGATATAAATGACAACATATTATCGAGTTTTCAAGTTCACCCGGCATTTCGCATAAAATAAATTGCAATTAAATGATACGAAACTTTTGCACTTATCAAATATGTATTTTACCCTTCGCGATTGTCTGCGATAGTACCGATGCGCAAAATAATGACCGAATTAAACTCGAAACGATAATATCATAATTTGTACAAGATATACGCATATAATGTTACTTTTTTAAAATTCACACATAATATTATTATTAACACGAAAATTCGATCGAAACCTAAAACAAACAAAAAAAGAAAATGACCATTTATCGATAAACAAGTGTATAATGAATTATACGTGTGGGTTTTTTTTTTTTTTTAATTTATAGAAACCGGTTCAGATAGTATATGATAACTCAATTGCGAATTTATTAGACAAATCTGTATAATAATAATTAAAATGTATAGGTGTACAGCAAATTAAAAAATATGCGTAGAATGTGAAAATTAATGATACATCAATTATTATTTAATACATATACACCCGTACAGTAAATCTCCAATGTGGAAAAAAATTGCAGCTTTATCCTTCGTTGATAATTATTGTCTTTCTGAAATAAATTACGGAATATCGTTTTTAAATTTAACCAACACGTTACGTATCACCTATGGTATAATAAAGCCTTGGTCAGTACGGTATTCCACTCCTATGAACACGTTCAAATTAATTATTCGGTTACGCTACATTACACTGTAACTACCACACTTTTGGGTGTTTTTTTTTTTTTTTTTTTTATTCCCCTTTTAAAAAAAAAAAAAAAAAAGTTACATTTACAACAGAAGATAAACCTATCACTCTATGCGCACTATTGAAGAGCACGCGAACATAATGCACAATAATTTCATCCGAACAACCATACGAACATTTATATTTCATATTAATAATATAAGAGAATAATCGATTTCAAACACTCGAGGTACAAGAAAAGAGAATACAACAATCGAGGTTAAAGTTATGGAAAACCGTCGAAAAGGATTAGAACAAGCCGATCAACCCGGATAAATAATTTAATTTAATTATATCTAACGAGTTATGCGAGTAAGTTCATTGCCTCTGTTGATATTAATAGCCACGTAATACGAAAACTTAAATCAACAACTTTAATAATAAAATACAAAACCGTGGGACTTTGCTGTGTACGTTTGTGCATGTATACATTGCCATCGAAAACTCATACGGTGCGTGATCAATTTCTAAAACGGTTTATGAAATCAAGTGGTTTAAGCACACACACACACACACACACACACACACACAAACACACACACACACACACTGATTCTGCTGTTTTATAATATCGCATATTACCGTGAAGCGATTTTCGCCCGCAGATAATGTCGGATTCCTGTAATTTTCATGATATTTCGCGCGTTATGTTATTTGCGAAAATAAACGTATGCGCGCATTAATACGTATATTATTTTGTAGTTAACACTCATTTAAATATTGCGTTGGTCCGTGTTTATCATGTACCGTCCGTCGCGCATTGCGTATCATCTGTGCGTCGGAGTTGATTCACGTGACTACGTTTGTTACACGTAATACGATAATATTATGACCAGGAAACGCGTAAAATTCGCAAAAAAAAACCGTTTGAAAACACACACCCGAAAATAGCGCTTGAAAATATTTTTAAAAGCAAACATAGTGGAGGGGTTTTAAAAAATCCCCGCATTTAACGGCTCCGACTCATAAAATGAAATCGTACAACACTAGAAAAACGAGTAGCGCAAAAGTGAAACACATAATATACGGTTTTAATTAAAATGTAATAATGCATTGTGTTAATCGTTAATGCGGTTTGGACGATTTCAGCTAATAGGTGAGCGCGGTCGGAGCGGGACTTTTAAACTCTACAATCGTTTTTGTTTTTTTTAAAAATATTTTCGAAGTGCTTTTATTCATTAATTTGTTCGATGTATCTTAGCGCATTAATGCGGATTTTTAGTGCACGCGATCCCGTTCCCTAATTATGACCCTGTTTGGGTAAAACAACAAAACGTATGCGCTCAAAACAATAACGGTACGCTTAAATAATAATAAATTAACACCGTGACTATTTAGTAGATTATTTTAATACACAATAAGGATTGGTTTATTTTCTTTCGGCGATAATTGAATATTGTAAATGCGTCGTAGGTGTTTAAAAACATTACTAAGTAACAATTACAAATTATTTTTGAATTAATATTTTTTTAAATCGTTTCTTTTTCCATGACATTATTGGTGGTTGTAATTATTTGTTTAGTGTTGGTCTTAAGGCCGAACAGTTTGAAAATCTTAAAAAAAAAAAAAAAAAAATGAAACAAGTAGAGGCCAATGAACATAGCCTTCGAAACACCCGAACAAATACTTAAAATATTGAAAGAAAAAAAAATACCTATATGTATATAAATCGAGAGACTTTAAATTGCTTTTTATTGAATAGAAATTCGAACAGAACGTAATTATTATTAATTTATCCGTGTCTGGATTGCCGGGCAATAGAAACGCATTGAAGTATAAAAACGAATGGCTATCCCCGTAAAATTAAATAAGGCTGATACTGCTGATGGACGTGGCACTTTTCGAGGAGGGGAAATCGGAAGGGTCGATATACGGAGTAATTTGATTTCAGTATATAGGATCTTTTCCCTAGTCGCCAAGGTTACCCAGAAATCAACAAACAATTATGGTTTTTGACGTTTGTTAAAAAAAAAAAAAAAAAACTACGAAAACACTTTACAGCCTCGACGCATCAATCGGATCGAAAATTCAACAAGAAAGTTCCTATAAAGTTTTTTTTTATCGGCGCGAGATTTCCGGTACAGAAAAGTTGTTCGCAGTGCATTAGCGCACTTCGCAAAAACGTTTAATTAGCATAATATCATTACGACGAGGTACCTAACCGGCGTATTTTTAATAGTTTCAGAGTTTGAGCGGAGGCACGAAAAATATGTTATAATATTATAATGGTTTTTTTTCTACGACGCGATTTCAATCGGGTTTCCTACGTGTGTTGTATTAAATAATCTCGACAATATCGTTACGTTCGGTCGACAGTAACGGCTCAATATCAGTTTCCCGGTCCGCAAATAGGATATTTGATAAACGCCTGCAGCTGCTGATAATCGCAAGCGGTTGTTTTTCGGATTTATCGCTGTAGTTTGTCGAAAAGTCGAGGAAAACCGCGGAAGAAAGTTAAAATTAATGCGCGCGCGATGCCGCAATTCGTATAATGACATTTAAATAAAAACACATGCTTCGTTCGTACGGTCAGGTATATTGTTTAGGATTACTACAGATTTTTAAAAATCGTCTCTGTTATGATATTATGAAATTATTGTTCAATGCACTCTACGCGTTATCGTTTTTAAATCACGTCGAACAATAAATCACCTATACATCGTATAGACATTTGAACAAATGTATTAATTGAAATACTACATCAAGCGCACTCGATACAAGAGTGAGTTGAAAACATTTTTCGAAAAGTACAAACCGTTTATGTATTGAATCGCGTTGTTGTTTTAAAGAAAAAAAAAAAAAAAAAATCGGATCGTCAGTTCGTGAGTTAGTTTAAGGAAACCGTAACGGAATACGATTTGTATTTAATATTTAAGTACTGTAGTTGTAAATAGATAGGTACTCAAATTATAATAAACCGGTGCGATTTCGTCAGGTTTCGTTCGGCGTTTATGGAACGGACGTGGATCCGACTGAAAACCAATAGTATAATATAAGTCTACGACCGAACAAACAACGCACTGCGCTTCGGTTTCGTGTTAGTCCGAAGTTCTATTTGATAGCTACTTCGTGTGAAAATTACCGTATCACACCGCGAGGTACGTATTTCTCATTAGTCGGGATGAAAACTACGATTTTCGGTATACTTATATTAATAATACTTAGAAAATCGCCAATGTTCGTTCGTTGAAAACCAATTGAAAATTAATTTTGCCAGACAAAATTCTAGGACCTATACCTACCTACCCATCTATCTACGTTTCTTAATAATTATTCGGTGAACGATACACGGATAAATCACTAGTGATTTTCGTAACACGAATTACATACGTTATACATCGTATTCGGTTTACTTTTATTATTGCTCAGGGTCACAGTATATGTGGCCTATATATATGTGTGTGTGTGTGTGTGTGTGTGTGTGTGTATGTGTATATTTTCTATTCATTTGATTAGTTTTTTACTAGGCATTGAATTTCATACGCACACATACATACGTTTACTCGTGTATTTGTCAACTCGATATATTTTCAACATTATATACGACACTGGTGATTATATACATTTTCGTTCTTTGATTCGCCGAGATGTGGAAAAGTGTAAGTACAATCGGTTTACAGAACTTTTTTTGGACAGATTGAATTACACAATATACATACGTATTATATTATGTTCACGTTAAACGATCAGTTGTTGAGATAATTAAACGAAATAAAAACCGTATTTTTAAAATAATATCTACAATTAATTCGTACGAGGTACTGCGTTCAAAACATCTCGAGAACAACTTTGATACCAGAAATTCGGCTTCAGTCATGAATCGCAAGCGATCAGCTTGTAGAAAACGTGGACGTTTTTTTTTTTTTTTTTATGATTTTCCTTGCATAGTTTAGTTAATAATTTTGAAAAAAATGGGGGGAGGCGGGAAAATGTACGCAATAACGGTTACTGTTATTATTATCGATTTGGTGTTTTTCGTTGTTATTCAGTTTAAAACGATTGTAGACATTAGACACATTTTCACATAGAATGCTTGTGTATTAGCCCCTTTTAGATTTGGTAAAATGTTCGAAACATTCTGACGTGCCCTGAGAAAAATGTTGAAGATTTCTACTTTTCATTTAGTTTTATGTGAATAAATTTAGTTTGACTTTTGAAAAATAGCCGTAAGTTGGGGCTACAAAAATAACGAAAATCACGAAATTTCGCGTACGTACTGTTTTCCGGTTTGTGTAGGTAATGGATTATACTCGTTTGACACTATGAAAATGATCAACAGTTCGAGACGAAAAAACGAGGACAAATCGTAATTTATTTTGCGGGTTGAACAATTTAAAATTAATACAATTTGCAATTAAAGTTTATCAAAACACGGAAAACCGTATGTTTCGCTCGGAGTCTTTTTATTTTTGTTACAGCAACGATCTAACGCTACGCAGATACATAAATTAATTTGCACCGGACATTAAATATTGTATTCTGACTTTTTTTTTTTTTTAACTTTTTACTTATGAACTCAATCGTGTTACGTACTAATTGATTTATTTATTATTATTTTACGAGTGCGAGTATTATAGTAGTCGGACATTAGGTACCACCTATTGTATACGGTATGACTCATCAGTTCATTACATTACGAACGAAAATTAATAATCGTTACGAACGTCACACTTACCATTACAATGCGATATACTTGAAACAATCTTCATTTAACTCGACGAGCTGTAGGGTTACCGATGTCTATATAAATATTATGGAACTCGTGCAACAAAATATTGAGCTCCGTGCCGTAAACCGTAAATACGTCTAACGAAATATAAATTGTGTATACGGTTTAAATGTATGAATATTGAAAAATTCCACGTAAATCAAATATCGTACATTATTATAACTGGAGAAATTTGTACGCGTGTAAAGGGGTTCGCATGCAACTGAAAACGGTTAGTTTGTTAAAAACAATCAACTTTACTATACGCACGCGTCTTAGAAATACAAGCGTAATAATAGCGAATTATTTGTATTTGGATTACGTGTTCGTAGACACCGTTATAATATGCGCACTCGTTAATAATAATAAATCCTAGTGGATTTTGAAAACAAACATCGCAATATAATTATGATGCTATTCAAACCGAGAAAAATGTTTACGTTCAATTACCCGGAGAGAGGAAGTTATTTAAAAAAAGAATTCGGTTTTCTCCGTTTATCCTCCCGCTTATAGGATCAAACTGATTCGTTGTAAAGCTGTATACTCCTTATATATATATATATACATTATTATTATGTACGTACGTACACAATTTTTGAAACCCAACGGATTTTGATTGAATTTTTATCCAAAACACATCTAGCATACCAATTGGACCTTTGGAAAAAAAAAAAAAAATGATATCAAATTTCTTTTTCTATTCTTTCTCTCTCGTCCGTACTCTATAATTGCATACAGCAATATAAAAGAAAGATAACAGGTGTACGTAAATTGTTTATGATGAATTTGTTACGAATTGCGGAACTCGCTCTATTTTCTATCTCTAAAATACCATGAATACGTAATACATTTTGAATAACGTGTATACAATATTACACGATATTGTTCGAATTTAATTTTGAAATCCCTGAATAAATATACAAATAAAAAAGACGGATACACGTTGCACGTGGGTGGGCCACTGTTGTAATTGAGAAGTTTGGAGTTCGATAGAGTGTGTTCCTTCGTCAACAATATATATATAAGTCATATTATGGTAAAATTGCATACACATTGTATGTTTTCTTTAACAATAATTTGTTTAAAAATTGTATCTCTTTTCCCGTTTTTTTCCCATTTATTATGAAAACATCTGGGAAATCAAAAAATGACCTAAAGTAACACCTTAGTCTGATTTCCTTTCAAAAAAAGTGCTATATTTGAATATCGAAGCGAAATTGCTGGCAGACAAGTTGTTCATAGCCAAAAAAAAAAAAAACATTGTAAAACCACTACATTCCTCGTTCTGTTAAAAATCTAAAACAAACGTATGCAGATATTTCATTGGAATTGTTTAAAATGAAAAGTACTTTTGAAAAGGGAAATTAGACATTTAGTTTATGAAACTATGCGTATTCAATTGGACATATTGATAATTTATAAAGTGCTGGTAACTTTTAAAATAAAATCAAATTATCAAATTAATTCTCGTACTGCTATTATAAACGCCATACTATCGAAACGCAGACACTGTGCAGGTTATGTTCTAAATTCTATCGTATCCGTAGATATGTGAAAAATGGCGGCGTGCATTTATTTTAATTGTTATAATTTGTATAACGCACAAGTTCGAGTCTCGGCGTTACATACAACTACGTTTTCGAAACGTGAAACTGCGCTGTAAGGTTATGTTAGGTCAGGTAACTAAAACTCTGAGATGCAAATATTTTTTTATTTATTTTTTATTATATACTTATTATGTTTTATATTTTAACGAGTTCAACAAAATTATACGGTTTATAAGTGATTTATTATACCGGCGGAGGGGATATTGATTACACCGTTGATGACGGTAACCTTCGCCAAAACCCGAACGACACAGACTATAAAATTACGTGTACCTATATACACGACAAAATCTAAATACCTTATTATGTACGTACCTATACGTATACTTACGTAATTGTCAATAATTGCGGTCTGCACAATACTGTGATTTATATAATGTCTTAACCGTAAACTGAATTTATATTACGAGTGCACAGGGCTAATACCGTCGCGATCAATGACAGTAATGTACAGTGGCGTACCAGGTCTTTCTTACGGGGGGAGGGGTGCGAAATATATTTTTAACCGCTCTTAAAAATAGAAAATTCCTTAAAACCGTAAGCTCACAGTGATCGGACACAGAAATCGCGGGCATTTTTACATTTGTAAAATTTAACCGTTTAATACACACACACACACACACACACACACACAATAGACAATTTGTATTTAATAAATTATAACGTTATAATGCGTGTTAAACACTTATAATACGAAATATAATTTCCGGTATTTTATGGAAGAGAATCTTTCAACCATATTGTCCACCGATTTACTTATTTCCTGGTAAATATGCAAGCCCGCACAAGTGAACCCGGCGCATTTATTTCGTAACTAAGAATCAATGATGAGGGACCACGTTCGAACCGCCAAAACTAAATGATAACACCAGAAACCTAGACCCGGTTCGACTATAGATTACAAAAATATTTTAATATCTGTGTATTTGACCATATTAACTCATATTAACTACTTTATACAACAAAAAAAAAAAAAAATTCAAAATAATTGTCAAACCATTAAAAACGAATAACAACGCACACATATAATTACATATACGACCCACGGGTACGCCATTGCACTATCATCGCAATACGTTCACCGCGTATTGTAGAAATTCCAATTCACCGTGGATTTCGCGCGAGTAGAATGATTTTTCCGGATAAATGTCCACCCGGTACGGTTAACCGGATGACGACGCAAACATATTACTGACTCGACCCCGTAGAAGTTAGGTATAAGTACTGGAAGTTTGTTATGTTGTTAAGAAACATGTCGCGGTCGAGCGGTCGAATATTGGTAAAATTTTAAAAACGCGAATCCTCCGGCGGGCGTAGGTGCCTACTCGGCGGTCGGTTGTATTAAACGCGCGGCCGTGGAAGTCGTGACCTCGTCATAGACCTCGGGACGAAAGAACGTGTACGTTCGTTATTTACGGACCTCCCGTATCTGAGTTACCGTCCAAGCCGGTAACGTAACCGACGTGGTTTTAGCAGTCTTACAACACCACAACCTTCCCGTAGGTCCGAACCCCGATAATGCACCGAGGAAGTCTGCAGGGTTCCAAGTGTAAAACCGGATTGGTATTAGGATAGTGCTCGGCACACTCGCCAAAACAAATCGCAAAATCGAGAGTACCGAAATGCGTTTGGTGGCTGTCTATAAAAATGCGTTTGGTAGCTGTCTGTATACATCCGTGTAAAATCGACCGACTATTTCAATAGCGTGTTTTAAAACGTTTGTTCGAAAAACGCGTGCCCCGTTGGAACGGCGTTGTCCAGGTGTGTCCACAAAGCGCACTTCGATAATTATTGTACAATCAAATCGTTCGACAAACGAGAAAATGGGGAAAAAAAAAAAATAGTTTATTTGGACAAGGGCTCTCAGATTGTGCTTGCGCAGATCGTCAACCCTACGCGGACACCGGCGCGCGTCGTTGGTAAAATCGCCGGCGCGTAAAACGCGCGACTAACCGTACGTAATGCATTAACACGTTCTCACGGTTATCTGGCGTTTGACGATCGATCCCGCGTCTGAAAAAAAAAGTCGATCGGAGCAAAAACGAAAAACAACAACTGCGAAAATGTCACGCGCGATACCAGTTCGGGGCGTGATTTTTCGCGTATCGGGCGAAGCGCGACGCGCGACCGGGTCCGGAACCGCGCGTCGGACGACGGGAACGCGCGCGGGCCCGGTCCTCCGCGCGCGTGCGCTTTCCGCGCCGGGATCGGACGCGACGCGCGGGGCTAGGGCCGCCGTCCGGTTAAAAACCGCCGACGCCGCCGCCGCCGGTGCATTGTCTCTGCGGCCGAGACGACCGTGCGCCGTATTGTAACGCGTGCGTGCGTGTGCGCGCGCGTATTATAATGAGATCTCGCCGTCACGACCGTGAGAGCTCGGGTTGATTTATCGTGAGCGACCAATCCAATTACCCGCGCGGCGAAGGTATACGGGAGGTGCCGTGCGCGCGTACGCCGCCGCCGGAGCGGGCGCGAGCGCGAGCCGTACGCCGCGACGGACAAGGTCACCCACCTCCGCCGCCGCACGACAAAACCCGGTCAACGCCGCCGCCGCCGCCTCGCGCGTTTATATTTTTCTTCTTCTCGTGCTGTTCCCCGGTACGTCGGGTCTTGCGCGCGCGAGCCGCTGACCCCAACGCCCGCCGTCGCCGCCGCCGCCGCCTCCGACCGTCCGGTACGGTCCGAAGACATTTGTACCGCGCCCGCGCCCTCGTATATTATCGTATTGTACATCGCGGCGCGTCGGCACGAGAATGAATAACGCCGAATGCGCACAATAAATAAAAAGAAGAAGAAGAAAAAAAAACAACCCGCGCAACGGCCGCTTAAAACGAGATCGCCGTCAAGGCCGTCTCGCTTTTTTTTATTACGGGGTAATCCGTCCGTCCGTCCGTCAAAGTATTGACTTTTTCCGCGATCGATTTACCAGACGATTTATGAAACGAGCTTTTATAGTCGCGCTGCGTTTTTCGTCGCCCTCGTTTTCGGCGGCGAAACCGCTACCTGCTTTTGATCCGATCGATAATCGAGGGCTGAGAAAAACGACACGGATATGAAATCGTAGAGCGGCGCGCTCCCGAAACATCCCGGAAAACAAATTCCGGAAAAACGTAAAGCACTTTCCGCGACAACGAGTGTCTCGCGTTAGATCGATCGCCCCGTGCGCACGTCCCGCACGCCGTACGCACGCCGCTGTACTCAATACGGGTTTGTTTTTTTTTGTTCCCCTTTTCTTTTTGTTCCCGTCGAAAGTATACGCAATTATTGTGTTACACGGGCGTGTATTTTATTACCGCGGGTCTTACGAGATTATAAACAATGCCGCGCGTTTAGTTTCCCCCTTCCACTCCCCCCCCCACCCGTATAATATTCCGTTCGCTGCAACACGTTCACAGTTCGCCGGCCGACCGGCACGCCCCTCGACGGTGTACGGCGGCGTAACGTTCCGCGCGTACCCGGCGATAAATGTCCGAAACGGAATTCGGGGTATGTTATTTTCGGCCACCGAAACCGCACTGGCCACCGCGCGACGACGGCGACAAACGCCGCCGGTCACGCGGATCTCGGGGTCGACGAGCGGACCGTTTCGGGACACGAACCGCCCTGCCTACCCACACAGCGGCGGCTGGAGCCACTCGCCCCGTCTTCGGCCGAACTATCGGAAAACGTTCGAACCGAACACGTTTGTGTGTCGCGTGCGTCGTTGTCCGTGTGTCGAAATTTCCAAGCGGGTCACGATGATTTTTTTTTTTTTTATAAATGTTTCGCGCGTACGGAGCTCGCCCGATAATCGAAATATCGATAGGAAAAAAACCCTGCGCGCAAGTTCAGACGGCGCTCTTACCTGTAGATTTGATAATGGGCAAACACGCGCAAATGTCAAAACCACCGGCACAAAACGAACGTAAAGTGTGATTGCTACGTAATTTCACGAATCGAAAAAAAAAAAAGTAAATAAATAACGTAAAAAAAAAAAAAACAACGAACCAAACCGAACGAAATTTAAATAATAATACATTAGAACGTTCTCTGTCTGTCGTTCGGTCGGCTCCCGGGAACTTTTCACTCCCGCGTCCTTCGGAATTTGTCGTATACATCCTCGGTTTTCATTGTTCCGGTTTTGCCGTCCGCGTAGCCTTCAAGAATTACATAATCGACCACTCGTCATGGTGCGGTTTACGACCCCACCTAATAGATATGCATACGTATATTATAACATCCCTTCTGGTTTTTTTTTTTTCAATTTGCCAAAGTGGCCTTTTTCCATCCAAACCGAAAGCGAAATTTCGACATTTTAGTCAAA